GCTCTAGTCTTGATAGCTTTAACAATATCGTCTACCAAAGGCGCCGTGTCTAGTGAGTGTCAGCGATACATCCCACAGCGAGCGCACATGCGACACTTACTGTCTTGCAGGAAGTCTTCGAGACTCTCGAGGCAGTTTTTCTTGAGACCTCTCTGTTTTATGATTAGCTGGGGTTACTTTAGTTTCAGATCTTATGTTAATCGGATACCTCAGTAGTATTCGCAGAAACGAGCGCGACCACATAGTCTGCTAGGACGGCGCTGTCGGCATCGCAGCTGTCACTGTCAGTGTTGCGCCAAACATTGGAGCTTGGATAGCCTGCACTTACATTTTCTCGACTTTTGGCAACAGCCAGTCCCTGAATGCGTCTGAGTCCTCGTCGCGGAGCAACATGGCGGCGCTGCGATCAGATCACACGCAGCTGCGACCGCGAAAGATCGGGTTGGATTCGGGTAGTTTTATTGCGTGGATTGTTTTGCGATGCTGCAGGCCGTCACATAGTCGCGTGCTCACTAGCGCGCCTGCGGGGTCATAGCTCCAACCCGTGCTCACATGATTAGATCAGCCCCACTACATTCACACCGTGGGTTAAGAACAAACGCACCGAGCTTAGGCATGGTCCGTGCCAAATGCCCATCAAATGGCTAGAACTCCGAAGTAATATACTGCGAGAGCGGATTATGTATGTCGAAGTAATGAACGGTCGATGTCCATCAGATGTGGACTTGATGGCTGCTCATATATCTATAAGCAGGGGTCTGCTGATGATCGCCATGGCAGCAAACCAACAGACAAAGTTGTTTCACACTTGCAGACACAGTGGTCATATGCTCAATGTTGATGATATACAGAGTTACAGAGTCTGAACAAGCAACAGCAGATGGGCCTACAGCAGAGCGAACAATGGTCTATCAAATGATTTGTGCAATATAGCTTGATTTGTTCTAACTATACTACACTCTGAACAGCTAGGAAAAGATCATCACTACCGTCTCTTGAGTCCAAAGCCCCAAGAAGCCGACTAGATCAAGGGCGCGTCGCCCGAACCGACATTTACTGTTACTGATCGCTTAAAAGGGAATCATGCGTGTCATGCAGCGACCAGCGGCTTCGAGCGAGCCCATGCTTGTCGATTGCTCCGAATGCCTGAGGAAAGGAAATCTAACACTTTTGAAAGCCTCCCTTTATAGCTTGTCGTAGTACTGCGAAGATGATTAGCAAGTGTACTGACGCAATTGAAACTAGAGTAACTTACGTTGTTAACATCCGGAACCTCGACCTTGATACCCTTGCGTTTCCGCATCTCGGCGACGATCTTTCCGGGCAGCGAGGTGGCGTCAAGTGGCGATCCACCCTGGAGAACCTGCCAATGGTCGAAGACCAATTGTGGGAAGGCCTGTCCGGCAGTGTTTGATCGCAGATCGGCGGTGAAACCGAAGGACTCGTTGACGGGCAGGTAAGCCTTGATGTTGAACAGAGGAGTACCAACACGCTGGTTCTCCTCGAAGACGTGACCACGTCGGCGGGTGAGCACACCGTAGATACCACCCATAGCCTGCTCGGGAACCTGGATCTCGACCAGGTAAACGGGCTCCTGCAGAGCAGGGTCGGCGAGGAGGGTAGCGGCGTACAGGACACGACGCGCAGTAGGGATGATCTGACCACCACCACGATGGATAGCATCGGCGTGGAGGGTGACATCCATGATGTTGAAGCGGATAGAACGCATGGGCTCCTCGGCAACGGGACCTTCCTTGGTGGCCCACTGGAAACCAGAGACGACGGAATCCTTGATTTCGTTCAGGTACTGAACGGCCTTGGTCTGGTCGACGAGCAAGTTGGCACCAGTAGTCTCAGGACCGAAGCACCAAATCTTACGGGCATCGGTGACATCCCAGCCGTGCTCATCAGCCAGGATACGGGCACGAGCCTTGAAATCGTCACGGGGACCAATCTTGCCCTGCTCGATGGCGGCGGAGACCTCCTCGTCCAAAGGCTGAGCAACAACGTAGAGACGGTTGTGCTTGTTGGGCGACTTGGACAGAGCAGTCATGCTGGAGGTACCACGGACGGTCTCACGGTACTGCACGACGGGGTCGGAGACACGGAGAGGAACACCGGCGTGGTCCTCCTCGAGATCCTTCAAGCAAATCTCCAAGTGGAGCTCACCGGCACCGGCGACGACGTGCTCACCAGAGTCGGAGATGTAGGTCAAGACACAAGGGTCGGACTTGGAAAGACGCTTTAGACCCTCGACAAGCTTGGGAAGATCCTGGGCGTTCTTGACCTCGACGGAACGACGAACGACAGGGGAGACGGAAAACTTCATGACCTTGAGGTTGTGGGCAGTCTCGTTGGTGGTAAGAGTACCAGACTTGAGCAAGAACTGGTCAACACCGACGAGACCGAGAATGTTACCGGCAGGCACGTTCTCAATGGGCTCGACGAAACGACCCATCATGAGAATGGTACGCTGAATAGCCTTGATGAACAAGTCCTCCTTCTTTCCAGGGATGTAGTTAGGACCCTGGATGCGGACCTTGAGACCGGACTTGACGGTACCGGAGAAGACACGACCGAAAGCGTAGAAACGACCCTTGTCGGAAGTGGGCACCATCTTGGAGACGTACAACATGAGAGGACCGTTGGCATCGCAGTCGCGGATACCAATGGCGTTGACGTCGTCGTGGGGACCCTCGTACAGAGTCTCCATACGGTACTTCTGGGCAGTGACAGGAGAAGGAAGGTGGAGAACCATCATCTCGAGGAGAGCGTCAGCGGCAGGAAGGAACTTGCGCATGACGACCTTGAGGAGCTGCTTGCCCTCGAGGTCCTTCTCCTCGCTGGTGAGCTTAATCTCAAGCTTCTCGAGAAGAGTTGGGATCTCGTCGGTCTTGAAGTTCATGACGACATTGAAGATGCGGAAAATGGGGTCGAGGATGAACTGGTTGAAAGCACGCTCGAGGGGCTTACCCTCGTGAGTGCCAACCTTGGTCCACTTCTTGGTCTTGGGGTTGAAGTAGCTGTCACCCCAGAGACGCTCCATCATCTTGTTCTTGTCAACACCAAACTTCTTGGCGTACTTGGAAGCGAACTGGCGAATGGTGAAAGCCCATCCGTGCAGACCGGAACCGAAGGCAATGGTACCCTTCTCGGGGTACACCTGGACATCACCGAGGGACTTGTCAAAGTAGGTGGCAATGACGACGTTGACGGACTCGATGACACGGGAGAAGTTCTGGTACAAGTCCTCCTTGGAGACCTGGAGCTCGAGAAGAGCACGGTCGACCTTGTTGATGATGACAACGGGCTTGATACGCTCACCAAGAGCCTGGCGGAGCACAGTCTCGGTCTGGACGCACACACCTTCGATGGTGTCGACGACGACGAGCGCACCGTCAGTGACACGGAGAGCGGCAGTGACCTCAGATGAGAAGTCAACGTGACCAGGCGAGTCGATCAAGTTGATCAAGAACTCGTTCTTGTCGGTCTTGACGGGAATGTCCTTGAGGTCCTCCTCGTCGAGAAGCTGGGCGAACAGGGAGATGGCGGTGGACTTGATGGTCACACCACGCTCCTGCTCGTCAGCGCGGGTGTCTGTGAAACGCGCAGATCCGGCCTTGGCGGCGGAAATGATACCAGCGCGCTGGACGAGAGAGTCGGTGAGGGTGGACTTGCCGTGGTCGACTGTGGCGGGGTATGTCAGCTATCTGTTCTTCATCATTGTGCGGGGCATCATTTTTGCGCTTACCGTGGGCAATGACGGACATGTTACGGATGTTCGCCGGGTTGTCCATGAGACCACGGATCTGTGGCGCTGTTAGTATCCTGTGTTCATCTCTTGCCAATTTCATCGGATGTGGCGGGCGATGTGTGCTCGGAACGTACCTCCTCGACCGTGAAGCTGCGACATTGTTAGCAAAATTGTCATTGAAAAATTTGTTACGAAAGCTAAAGTCTCCGGGAGTTCGAAGACGGAAGCAATGCGCAAAGGCGACTTACTTGACCATTTTGGCGGTGTTGGATTGATTTGTCTTTTCGAAGATTTGTTGGTACCCCGCAGTGGGAGGGGTGGACTCGGTGTTCTGAACGCGAGTTGGGTTGAGGGCTTGTCTCTGGCGCAGTCGACGCTCAGAGGCAGACGAAGTCGTTCAGTTGATAAGCCGTGGAGGCGCGTCTGTCGAGAGGGAGGAGGAGCGGGGGGGCACTTCAAGTAGGAACGATCGAGGTTTTTTGCGGTGGGGCGGGGCAGGTGCTCGCTTGAGGCTAGCCCGGAGTGGCAACGTTAAGGTCGCTTTCCCGCATCACGACCAGCCATTCTGCCGCCCTTTTGTTCAAAATCACGTATTTCGACCCGTATTCATACCTTCATTCAGTGGAACTGGTTCACTTATATGCTCGTCATCGAGACTATGACTCCCCATCAAACATTCGAGTCACCGGGTGAGTCTACGCAAGTACAGTGCCGCGGCCTAATCACATTCAATTGGGTAGCATCGGAAGAGCAAGGGCGCGAAATCAATGGAGAATTCGGCCAGCGGCTCATGCACCAATGCTTGATTAATCAATCCCGTTTCATGTCTATTCGCTCTGAACTAGCGACCTGAGACGCACATTACGAAGCCTGTGTGTCTTTAGAGATGCTTCACATTAGTAATCATGAGTCTATACAGGCTCTCGTGTCGTTCGAGATGGAGTTCTTACAGACGTGAATCATTCGCGAAATGTACATACAAACTATTGCAGGACATGGTGCCATGGACCCTCAGGTGCGCATTTGCATTTCAATGCCTGGTCTTTTATTTCGTGGTCCTTGACTCGAGTTATTCCGCAGCTTAAAAACTACGATGGATAAGATTTCGGTCATTGTGTTTACATCCAGAGCGCAGCAGCACAGACTGTTAAATCGGCTATCTACTCCAAGATTATGGGCGCTCTCTACAACCTTTGCGTGAGGCTGACAGCCATGGACTCGATATTTCATGATCAAGCTAGTTTTAATCACATGGACGCTCTTTTTTTTTCCTTTGCTATTTTAGCTCCAGTGTATTTACTTCTTTTCGCGAAACATTTATGCCATGTTGAGTCTATGTTAAATTGATGCGATCCTTGTTGTAGAGCTCGGTGGGCGGGTAGTCAGTCACAAAAAGAAAGGCCATATTGCTTCACATCATAAAGAGATTCGCATTGTAGGTGAGCAGTGTGTCATTCATGAGCTCATGCCGAAGCAGAGCATCGTAGATTCGATTCGCCTATATACGAACGGACGATGGAATCTGAGAGAAACTTTTGCTATGAAATCCTTCCAATCGTGATGGTATCGTCAGAACGACCAAGGAACTGGAAAACCCAAAACGCCGCATCATGCAATGAAAGCCAGTGAAAGAGCTTACTCGTCCTGCTTGATCTCCAACTTGCCCTTCTTGGGGCTGTCGGCGCGGTCATCGCCATCAGCCTTGCGCTTGTTAGAACCGTCCTTGTCGGCATCGCCACGGGTGTCCTTGACCACGGGCACACCGTGACCATCGCGCTCGACCTCCTTGCGGTCCTCTTCTTTGCGGCTGCTGCGGTCATCCTTGCCCTTCTGGAAGCGGTCGCGGCGGTCGTTCCAGTCACGGCTGTCGACTGAGCCAGCTGAACCGCTGCGGTCACGTCGGCGGCGGGGGGAGCGGTCACGATCACGGCGGTCGCGACGGTCGCGGCCGTCGAATCCTCCTCGTCCACGCCCGCGTCCACGGCCTCGGCCACGCCCACGGGTGTCGCCCTTGCTGCGGTTGCCGTTGGACTCCCACCTCCTGGCCTCGAAGTTAGGCTCAATGCCCTTCTGCTCACACTTCCAGATGATGTACTCCTTCTTGCCCATGACAGTAAGCTCGTTGCCGTTAAACTTGGGCTTGGGATCGAGGGCGAGGAACTGCTTCTGAGAGTCCTCAGAGTCGAACTCTACGAAGACGCTGCCCTTCCAGCTGTCGTCTGCATCACGGCGCTTGCGGACCATGACTGCGCCGTAGGGACGGAAGAACTGCTCAATCGCAATCTGGCCAGCCTTTTCAGGCTCGCCGAAGTTCTTGACGTAGACGCTAGTCTCGATCTTGTTCGAGGACGCTTTCTTGAGGCGGTAGAAGTAATCGAGAGTGCTGGGCTTGCGCTCCTCATCGCCTTCCTCGGTGGGGCAAACAAGAGGCTCCTTGCGCTTGACTGCCTCCTTTCCGGTTCCGTTGTACTCACCGTCGTCTACGACGATCAAGTCGTTGCTCTCGCGCAGCGCATCGACAATGGCAGAGTACGGGCGGAAGCGACGCATGCGCTTGAAGTCGGACAGATGCTTGATGGAGACAGGGCGGTTAAGAGGACCGCCGAGCTCGGTGAACAAATGCTCGTCAGTGACCAGGTTGTGGTTGGAGAAGTAGAACTCGACCTGCGCACGGTTAGTGGGGGTTTTGCGACAAGCGCACTGCGCATCTCACCTGGTTGCGAATCTCGACAGGGTCGTCAGTCTCGGGGAGGTTGTCGAATTCCTCGTTGCGCCTATTGAATCAGGTTAGTCGAGGGAAAAAGAGACCTGCGCATGCGCAACGAACTTCTTAGTGTTGTTGTTGAAGCCACCGCGACCACGGCCTCGTCCACGGCCTCCATCACGGCGGTCGTTGAAGCGGTCGTTGCGACCGTTGCGGTCATTGCGACCACCGCGACGCTCGTCCTTGTCCTTGGAGTTGCCATTGAGCTCCCACTTCTCTTCGCCAGCGGCTTCCGACTTGTCCTTGGAGTCGTCGGCCTTTGCGTCGCTCACGGTGGCGTCAGTGCTCGTGGTGGGCTTAACGTCTGAGCTCTCAGTCTTAGCCGTCTCAGCGGGGTTGGCGGCTGCCGAAGCAGCGTTTTCGGTGTCGGCCATAGTTGAGAATAGTATATCTAGAGTCGCGGATTAGCTTTGAAGCTACTCGAACACTTTTTCTCAAGTGTTAGTACTGGCGCGGCTGCGGGTGAGAAAAAGATGGGGACGAACGAGCTTTTGAAGTGAGAGAAGCTCTAGCATTTTTTCGGAACCGACGACGCTCGGACCCCCAGATTTCACGATTTGCCCGTCACCTACTGTCGGCGGACTCAGAGGACGGCCAGTCACCGCACATGCACCGCCTCCCACATTCGCCATGCCTAGGAAAAACCCACGGTTCCATTCGCTGAAGAAGCTGGTACGTCATTGTCCTGTATACGAGAAAGGGCGGCGCTGATGGCAGTAGCATGTCCGCCAGGACTGGTCACGATGGTCCCTCTATTCCCTCTCACAGCTCCGCTCACCCAATGTCGCGACCAAAACATACTTCCAGCAGAAATGGGCGGCCAAGGCGGCCACGCGAGCATACCACGGCGAGCACATACGTGAGAAGAAGTGGAAGCGGCAGTTCAAGAGGAATTTGCCCGCCGTAGTGCCCATGGACCACAAATATCTGGCACAGTATGACGGTTCCGAGCAAGGTGCCGGGCGAGGAATGGGCGCAGACTCGCAAGACAAGACGAGGACGCCGCCCATGACACCGTACATGCAGATGACATACTACCCGCTCGAGCGGCGATTAGACACTGCCATCTTCCGCGCACTGTTTGCGAGCAGTGTGCGGCAGGCGAGGCAATTCGTTGTCCACGGCCTCGTCAAGGTCAACGGCAAGAAGGCATGTGTGGCAGGCCTCAAATACCGCTCCCCGTACTGACATCGCTTCTAGATGGTATACCCAGGATACTCGCTCAACCCAGGCGACATGTTCCAAGTCGAGCCCTCCTCCGTCATGTTCGCAACCGGCGCCCCCAAAACCCGCTCCACCCGCGCCCGCAAAGTCATCAAAGAGAAAGCTGCCGCCCGCGCTGAAGAGCGCGAACAAAACCCCGTCAAGCCTGCCCCAAAGCCCTCCATCCCCGAAAGCACCCGCGCAGAACCCACGCCCAACGAGCTAAAGCAGCAACTCCAGGCCCTCATGGAGCAAGTCGACGACGTCCTCGCCGAAGACGTGAAAGCAAAAGACAAGCAGAAATTCCGCGCCTTCAGACAATCCGTCAAGAAAGCCATCGGCCTCTGGCGCACCGCCAACCCAGAAACCATCTCCACCCTCGACACCCAGTTCGACTTCCTGAAGACGCAAATCGCTTCGCGTTCCGCGCCGTCATCCTCGCGTGACCCCGCGGATGCAGAGCCCCTGATCTCCCAAGAAGACCAAGCGCGCCTGCGCTCCGCCTTTGAAAAGCTGCGCCTCGAGACCGAGCACACAAGCGCGTGGAACCGGAGAAACGTAGCCGCACCGTATGCGACGCCCTGGCGGCCTAGAGACTACATGAGTGCGTTCGCCTTCATACCGCGGTACTTGGAAGTCAACCAGAATATCTGCGCGGCGGTATATCTTAGACATCCTGTGGCACGACCTGGGCTGGCAGAGGTGCCGACGCCGTTCCACATTGAGACGGGGCAGTTGGCGTTTAACTGGTATTTGAGGAGGAGATAAGGGTGTGGAACGGGCTGTACTATATGTATGTAGATGAGCATGGCATTTGTACAATATAGAATTGTGGCGAGGAATCAACTTCAAGCATCAAGACCCCATTCGAAATGGCAGAGCTGTTGTGTTCGAACTGATGATGATATTATAGACTTTTGCATCCCGCATTGTCTTTTGATATATGCTTTCTCCTATGACCCCGTTTGGACAGGAACCAAAATAACATGTAAGTACAACCATAACATTGCCACAACTCCAGCTTCCCGCGCAAGAAACGGAATGAAAATGACATGTTTGTACATCGGGCGCAAAGTATTAGTCGCGAGAAGCCCCAGTCCCGCTGGTAGAAGTGTCGAGAACAAGCGAAAAAAGAGCAAGTGAAAACGAGCGCCCAAACGCCTGTTGTGTGCAGAGACGCAATTAAGTGTGCGTTCTCACAAGGAGAGGGTTACTCGCCTATCCTTCAACTCGGAAGCTGGGAATGAGGATACTGAGCTACTCGGTAGTATCAGATGGATCCGTGGTCCATCGCATAGCTGAGTGCAGTAGGTGTGCGAATCGCCGGTAGAATGAACAGCCAAAGCAGACGTCGAAGAAGTTGTAGGCGTGCCATCACAGCACAACCTCTACCCCTCAATCAACATCACTTTCCCCCTCGTCCTCTGAGCACGTAAAAATGCTCTGCGGATACCGCAGCGTCTCCGCGCTTGGCCTCGGACTAACGTCGACAACACTACTGTCCGGCGTCCAGTGCGACGTCGTCTCCGATATGGTAGACGAAGTATACTGCCTGAAGCCATTGGCGACGATGTCCGACATGTCGACCTCGGACTCGTAGTTTGGCGGCTCGCTGGGCGGATTCGAGCGGTAGCTGGGTAAGCTATCTGTCCGGGATTGCGGGCGCGACGGAGCCTCATGACGACATGACGGTGGGCGGGTATGTCGACGCCAGGGAGGGCGGGTATGTGTGATGGCAGTTACACGGGGCCCTGCCTTCTTCGGCGCCGCGGACGAGGTCGTTGACTACGTCGTGAGCAGCGCGCAGTTGGCGGATTTCGGCTTGCATAGCGTCTTCGAGGACGCTCTCTTGCGACTGGATGAGGGAGCGCTTCTCTTCGTAGTCTTCGATGCGTTCTTGGGTCTTTTCGCCAATTGCCGCGCCACCAGTTGCGCCAGGCGTGCTGTCGGGCTGCACGACGGTATGCTGCGGCAGTGTCGCGTTCCTCGCGAGCGGCGGCACGTTCGGTGCGGGTACGAAGGCTGCTGCACTTGTGACGGATAGTCGCGATGAGGCAGCCACAGCAAAGGAGGCTGAGTGTCACCTCGAGAGCGATGATGTACGGCGATGTCTTGGTAGGACGTGGTGGCAGTTCATCGGTAGCTTCCTCGTACGGTTGCACATTTATTGTCTCAACTTTGATTGAGCCACCAGACTTTTGCACCGCATTGATGTGGGCCGGCGCGTAGAGGTCCAGGCTTGGGCGACCCATGTCGTTGATTTGCTTGGACTTGCAACGCTCAACAGCGTCTTTCAAGGCACCTTGAGCTTTGTGCGCAATGGCCTTGAATATACAGGCGAGACCTTCACACTCGTTGATCTCGTCCGTGAGGCTACTGACCTCTTTCCGAAGCTGTGAGTTGATGCGATCCTTCTTGTTTGCAATCGCCTGCTGGAGTTTTCGAAGCTCTGCTTGAAGCTCTCTTAACTCGCGGAGGTCGTTCTCTAGTGACTGCTCAAGGACAGTACTGTCTTGTGTGACTAGGGTTCCGTTGGCGACGAGACGAAGGTGTGCAGGCGGATTACGCCAGTATTGTGCTACGTCTTTGTCACTTGCAGAGCGGTCGGGAACAGACTCGAACCTGAGCAAAGAGGGAGGTGATGTTTGCTGCTTGAAAGAGACTGTAAATCCAGAGGGGATGATAAGGGCTTTGCCGTCGATGGCTTTGATGCTGACTGTCAGGACCTGTGCTGCTTCGTCTGTCTCCTCGTCACCGTGAAGACAGGCAGAGTTCCACTCAAGATCCAAGTCGCGTTGTAGAGAAAGGTCATCCTGTGTAGCGTCGGTAGTACCTCCAGCGGTGTATGAGCCTGAGCCAGTAGCGAAGTCGCCGTTCCACTCTTGAGACAGCTGCACTCCATTCAAGGTGATGTTAGAAGAACCGCAGGCTTCGTCTTGGGCATGACTTGTGAACCTCAAAACCTGGAGCGCGTGAGCACGATGTCACTATTTTAGGTGCCTGGAGCGGCCTTACGAGAGACTCGTCATCCTGGTCCGTGTCATGTGCTGAGCCAAGACAGCCGTTGCAGGGGACACTGAAGGTAGCTTGCGCGTAGTCGTGTTGAAATTCTGCAATAGTTTAGCAGATGCCTGGAGATGGCAAAGCTGAATGCATATAAGGGTGGAGCATACCGTAGTGCAGGAGCTTTCCGTCCGGTCGAGGAACGTCCGCGGCGCGGCTAGGTAGGACAGCGGCAGTGACAGAGGCGATGCTGAGCGCACAGGCGGACACGAACTTGGACCTCAGCGACCGCATCGTTCAGCGAGAGCAGTGAAGCGAGTATTAAGAAGAGCAAAAACAGCAGACAACCCGCAATCCGACCTCGAAGACGCACACAACGAGCGGCGCTGAAGTGGAGTGGGCGGTCAAAGTCTCCAAACTCTAGCAGGATCAGGCACCAGTTTGAAGGGCGTTGGTGTGTTTAAGGGCGGCCGGAGGGTTTAAGGCCCCGTGGCTGCCGTCAGCGTGGCTTAGACGTCCGCGCCGCTCACAACTCAGGTGCGCGCATGAATGCGATGTGATGAAACAGTGAAACGAAGCAATAGTGCAAGAAGGCGCTGCAGACGCGATGCTAGAGGTCCGTTGGTTGAGGATCCTGGCGCATAGTGTAAACGGTTATCTGGCAAGATCGAGATGCTGGTGGCTTCCGGGGCGTTCCTTCCTCTTCGATCACGCAGCAACATATTCGATAGAGAATACCATCTTCCAGGCATGGCATAATTAAAAGTAGAGACTAGGTAGCATGTCCATTAGGAAGACGATGCATTGAAGAACTTGTATGTACATTCCAGCAGGAAAGTAGCATGATGGTAGACCATATTCTGTTATGGATAATGAGCATGAAGGTAAAAGTCCAAAATACTCCGTGCCCTTGACACACAAAGAAGAGCCATCAAAGAAGAGAGGATGTATTCGAGTCACGTCATCACCAACATATGTCTGATCATCGTGAATCGCGCCCGTGAAGTAATGTCCGCCAAGCATGGTCCAAGCTCTTCCGCGATTATTCGATACACGACGCTTGACCAAACACCCCACACGCGCTGCACAACTCCACCCCAGCTCTCGACTTCGTTGCTGGGCCGTTTCTCGTGTGCGATTGATAGCACTTTCCTGCCTGTCCTACAATACTCCCTACTCTGGCAGTCGAAGAGTCAATATGGTACGTCATACACAATGCGACGCCGTGGACCGGGGATTTGATATTGACAACAACCGCAGCTTCCCTTAGGGCTCTTGACGGCCGCGACCGGTCATCCTATGCTCGTGGAGTTGAAGAGCGGCGAGACCCTCAACGGACTGCTCGTCAATTGCGATACCTGGATGAACCTCACCTTGAGGGAAGTGGTACAAACGAGCGCAGACGGTGACAAGTTCATGCGGTTACCGGAGATCTACGTGCGCGGCAGCACAGTAAGAATCAAAGCCGTCTTTTGGACATTGTTGGAACGCTAACATATCACAGATCAAATACCTTCGAGTGCCAGACGAGATCGTCGATGTAGTAAAGGACCAGCAAGTAAAGGACCAGGCGAATCGCGGTGGCCGAGGCGGCATGCATCAGCGAGGAGAGCACCGCGGCGATCGGGGAGGCAGAGGCATGCGCGGCCGTGGACGAGGACGTGGAAGAGGAGGCGGTGGTGGAGGTGCTTGAGGCTCATGAGTACATACGTTTACGTCGCCAACGAGTGCCTACGACCTACGGCCTGTCCATGCCCTTGAGATAAACGCGGTGCCCTTACCCATCTCCCGTGCTCCGATCGACCCTCAGTAGCGCCAGTCGCACGCCACACTGTTTTGCGATGAATTCGCAGGGAATGGACTTGGCCACGCGCTGCTACCATCTTGCTCGTATTCTGGCTTCTGCAAACGGCAAACATTGCAGCATAAGCGCGCTAGGTACATGATGCGCGTGGCATGAGAAGAATCGGCAGGCCTGCTGAATCAAAAGTCAAGCTTCACCACGCGGATTAGCCGTTAGAATGTATCACACCCCAATGCGAAGATACAGTCTCATTGTAGCTAGGCTATACCTTGAATATGGAAGAACCACAATCGGCCCAGTCTGTTTTCTCAAACTATGCGCGTTTGTCTTACTCGCCGCATCACAACCAAAGATTAGCCGACGAGGAAAGACCATCGTATACTTTGCTCAACACCATGTGCAGGGATCTTGACTATGCGTGTAGAATTCGTCAGACCATTCATGGAAATTGCCAGGGCTTAGAAAGAGCTTGGCGAAGGAACTCCGTACAGCTCATTTCGACATACCAGAGACGGAATTGCGCGTCCTTGGGTTTTCTTTGTTTCTCATGCATGCTGCAGTACGTGATGGGCGAATTGCATGCAGTACAGATGCTGTGCACTAGATGCGGGGTCGAACGCCTAGACGTTCCGAGCTTACGTTGATCTTACCTAGGTAGTACTACTCTTCGAATTACAATTCCGAATGCTATATCATGACTAGCGCCCGCGTACATTCGCCTCCATATCCTCATTACTACACTCCCGGAGAAAGTGCTTCCAATTCCTAGCCCCACGGGCATACATTCAGTATACATTTGAAAGCAAGCTTCGCAAAGTCCATTTTCTGTTGCTCAACATGACGAGCTTTGAGATCCCAGACAGCGCCCTTGAAGGTATCAAGGATCAAGTGGTAATAATCACTGGTAAACAATCCTCCATGAGTCGGTCCTCCAAGCTCACTGAGACCCTGTAGGCGCATCATCTGGCATAGGTCTCGCAACTCTCCGAAGGATAATCAAGCACGGCGGCAAAGTCTTCGCAAGCGACGTCAACGATCTCCCAGAGCCCGAAGCCTCATCAGTGCCCTTCCAAAAGGTCGACGTGACATCCTGGAAAGACCAAGTCGAGCTCTTCAAAGCCGCAGAAAAGCACTACACCAAAATCAACCACGTCTTTGCCAACGCCGGCATCGCACCAACCATCAACCTCATGGAAGACGACGTGGATGAAAATGGAGATCTACTACCCCCAAAGCTAAATACCCTCAATGTTAATTTGACAGGCTGCATGTATACAGTCAAACTAGGCATATTCTACCTCAAGAAGAATCCCAACGGAGGGAGTGTGGTCATGACTGCTTCGGCGTCGAGTTTCTCCCGCTTTCCGGCTACGGATTACAGTACGCATTCATTTCCATGGACGTAACCTGACTGGCTCCTAAATATCCCTCAGCAACATCTAAACACGCCGTTCTCGGTCTCCTCCGCGCCCTGACCCCCAACCTCACTCAATCCCCCCACCCTATCCGCATCAACGCCATCGCGCCCTCCTGGACTGCTACTAACATCGTCCCGCAAGCCGTCATCTCAGCGCTTGGCGAGGGGAATTATCAATCCGCTGATGTTGTTGGGCGGTCTGTTACGCTGCTGATGGCCGACGAGAAGAGGCATGGCGAGTTGGTGTATAGTGAGTGTGGTAGGTTTATGGATTTAGAGAATGGGGAGAGGGGGTATCATGAGCTTACGAAGAGAATGTTGGGAGTGGAGGGTGAGTTGAGGGAGACGAGCGTTTTGAGGGGTTTGAGGGAAAAGCTGGAGGGGAAGGGAGAGGGTGAGAAGGGGTTGGAGGAAGTTGTGGTGGCGAGTGAGTAAACTTGAAGGTATCTTTCAAGTTGAGTTGAAGTCGAAACTACTTACAATCTTAGTAGTACAATGGCATGGAAAGATTTTGTCGCAATCGGTTCCATTCTCCCAGCCCAAGTCTCCCTCATGGATACCCTTGAGTGGAAAAGACGAAAGCAAGACTCAGAAGTAACATGAAACTGACACTAATGTTTCCATATCTACTATCTACCTAGTTCGTCAAATTCCCCCAACACTGGGTAGTCCCGCTCAACCAGGAAACGGATACACGGCCGGGCTTTTATATCCATTTGTCCCCACTGCACGCACACCAAAGATAACATTATCCTTACTCAGCGGCAGTGTCACACTACCAACCTTGCCAACATCAACCTGATGCGTCCACAAACTGTTCGCAACTGGTCGCCAAACAACCTCATACCCAGCAACATTCGTGTGGTTCGAAACAATCCACTTCAACCTCGTGTCATTGTCAAGAACCGTCGTGTCGACAGTGACGTTCCGCGGCATTCCCGGAGACTCAGACAAAGCCCAAATTGTCGCCATGTTAACCTTGCCCACTCTTGCTGTGTAATCAAAGTCCACGAAATCAATAAGGTCGCCATAAACCGTCCCGTTCTCCGTCCTCAGATCCTGATGTTGATGCGCAAAGTTCTCATTCGGCTCCGTATACCTAATTGCCGGAAACCCATTCTGCAAAAACGGCGTATGGTCTCCACCACGCAGGAACCTATCAAGACGGTATATAATCGCAACGTTCATGCCAGTGGCGTTATTCCCCGCCACCTCGGCAGAAAACCGAGCGAGTTCTCGCGCGGGGCTGTCGTTCTCGCCGCCAATTTGCAGACGCTGGGCGGCTTTTGCGGCGGATTCGGAGGGCGGGGGACCTTGGGCGAAGGCGCGGATGGTGAAGGGGTCTTTTTGGCCACGGTCGCCAGTCGAGGAGCCAACGATGTCGCAGTTGAGCATACCTTCGACGTTGGTGCTGGAGTTCTTGAGGGTACCGGCGAGGTAGCCAGCGCCGTAGAGGCCTTGTTCTTCGCCGGCTACGGCGGCGAGGATGATGGTGGACTTGGGCTGGTGTTTGGAAAGGATGCGGGCGAGTTCCATGGCGACTAGTCGGATTAGTGGGAAGTATTGTTTTCGGGATGTGGAATTACTAACTGGCAGTTCCACTTGCATCGTCGTTTGCTCCAGGAGAATCCGCCTCGTAGTTCAGGATGTTGGTGACACGACTGTCGTAATGTCCGAGTCATGACATAGACCTTCTCGGGTGTTTCGCTTCCTTTGATGAGTAGCTACGACGTTGGATATGACCACAGGAAACGGAATTCTGGACGCAATTCCCTGTGTGTAGCTCTGTACTTCGACAGTCATTCTCCCTTCGCTTTCGTCTGCCCAAACCTTCATCTCTGATGCAATCCAGTCGCGAGCAGCATGAATGCCTCTTGTGCTGCTGTTGAAGGTGGCCAAGGTGTGTCGTGTACCAAATGAGACCAACTTGGTGATGATGGCCTCAATGTTCGCTGGGCTGATTTCGTCCAGCATGGCTGTGACCTCTCCAGTTGGCGCTTGTGGTACAAGTTCGACACCAACGTTCGACGGCGGCCATGCTGCACTTGCACAGTTGGTATAGCTCCCATCGTTGACAGCAACAGGTGGTGCTAGGTCACGCTCAAGTAGAGCTTCATGCGCATCGTGAGCACTCACAGTCGCCAGCAGGGCGATGCTCAACGCAGCCGGATTGAAACGCATGACGAATAGAACAAAACCCTTCAAACCCATCTTGCGTGCGTCACCGACACTCTTATAAAATCCTATCCATGACGATCCAGCTTGCGCATCCGACGTCAACACGGGACATCGAAAGACGGAAGTGTACTACCGCAGCCAAGGCCAATACGAGCTTCCACTGCGAGTTAGACATCGTGGATACCCCTCGAATTTTTCAAGAAGATAGTAGAGATAGCCTGGTTCTCATAGCTCGGCAGACTAACAGGCTTGGGTGATGTTATCGACAGGGGTAGGTGGCAGGGTGGATGTTTGCCCGTTTAGGCAGGTCGCAAGGTAGAGGCGAATTCGAGTAAGTGCTACACGAATTCATCCATTAGTATACCCGATTTCGCAGTGAACATGCGATTTGGCGTTATCCGGAAGGACAATTGAGATTTTGGAATCATCGTATATATGACATGAGCTCTGCGCTTGCTCTGATCAGAAGTTCGTATACTCTTTCCTGCATGCGCTAAAACATTCCGATTCCAAAGTGTAGTAGCATTAGTAAAAGATTCATGCTCGATCTTTGGCATTTCACATTCCGGTTGAGACGTAAGTAGTTTCGACATGCATCCAGGATCTTGGGTCGCGGGAGAAGACTTAAGGTTAGCAATACCCGGATGATGCCTCACAGGGTGGAAAGTTACGCAATGCTCCGCGCTGACGCCGAAAAGCTTATCCAGACCACCGCACACTGTCTAGCCAATGCTAAGCAACATCTCATGACTCCTCCTATCGAGGATGAGTCAACTTCAATATCCGTCTTTACCAGCCACAACACCAAACGCGCCCCCACTCTTCGCAAACATACTTCTCAGATCCTGCACGATGGCATCAGGCCGCTCATACGCCGCAAAATGTCCGCCCTTGTCATGTTCCGCTTCAAAGACAATCGGACCCAAAGTGTGATTTCACAGCTTCGGCATCAGAATAATTTCCTTATCAAACCTACTCACACCAAGCGGGACATCGCTCCACACCGCCGCCGCAGCGAAGACAGGCGGATCGCAGTGTTCCATGCTCCACTAAATGTACGAGGACGCAGCCAGCCTAGCGCGCAAGAAATAGTAGATAGATATCCATGTGAGGATTTCGTCGTCTGTCCAGGCATAGTCATCCGGACCACGCGTGCATTTTCTCGTAGACACAGGCGGGTAAGCCCGGTTGGACTATCTTGCAGGGAGTACCCTATCGTGAGGGGGCGCGTAGATTGTTGGGAGGTAGCCGTGCTCTTCTTTGAAGAAGTGTGCGGTACGGGCTAGGCCAGCCAGCTCTTTTTTCGGAAAGCGGCGTCGCTTTGACGCGAGCGAAGAGCTCTGGACGGGCCGCTTCTCTTGGTTCGTTTGGTAGGCGGTTGTTTAGATGGCGCGTTTTTACGGCGCTGGGGTAGGCGAAGCATAGGAAGCGTGCGACCATGGAGCCGAGATCACCGCCCTAGACGACTGGGCATGTCAGCAGTGGGATACACGATGAGTGAGACAGGTTTGAGAAAATACGCAAAAGCGCGATGCGAAATTTGAGACACACCGTATTCGTTGTAGCCAAGAGCCTGCATGACTTTATGGTATGCTTCGGCATGTTGAGCCATGTTAAAACCTTTCTATAGTATCGCGAGTCCAAGCCATTGTCGTGAGTGCATTCGAAAGGCACTCATATTGCTCACTGACCTTTCCACTGGCACTTGAGAGCCCAAAATCAATCAGACTAGGCGCAACAGCATGAGACGTCGGCACCTCGTACCTACCTTTCACAAGTTCCGGCAAGATCTTGGTGACTTCGATGAAAGACCCCGGCCATCCATGCAGAAACAGAAGCGGTATCGCCTTTTCTCGTTTACTCTTTCGATGCACAAAATGAACATCATAGATCCCGAAACCATCCACGTTCACCGTAGCTGTGAACTGCGGCTATTCATTAAATTGCGCTTCAGCTTTGCGCCATTCATACTCGTGTGCCCAGTGCTGCGTCAATCTCTTGATATTGCGGGATGGTGGACCGTGGAGCCATGGCTCACAGTCGTCGCGATCGGATGGTATGTCTGCGAGAGCGAGCTTTTGCTTTACGCGGAGCAATTTTTCTTTGGGGATTGCACTTTTGGATGGGGTAAACGATGTCATGTTGAAGCGATGGCAGAACGATATTTGACAGTGTCATGTGTAGTGTGGAGAACTAGCAGGCGGTGATGGCCCTTTTCTGGTAGCGAAGCCTTTGTTTATAACAGCGCAATAGATGTTGACATAGTGCAACACATGCAGGTCATTCGATAACGTTAGGAGTAAAGACGAAAAGCTTGTGAGAGATGAAATGTGCGGCGCATGCGAGCTTACTTCGTAGATGGGCTGCTGTGTCGAGATCCTCAAGAGGAGTAGCGGTATGCGGCATGCTGATCCCACTGTATAAGTACCCAGCCACTCAGGTCTTCATCTGGACTAGCATAGCTAGCCTTCGGATCAATAAGTGTAGCATGTCCACCCTTTGTAAGCCCCGTGAACTGAACATTATTGGAACCGAAACCTTGAAGCCACCTCTTTCCGAACGACTAACTACATGATTATTGCAACGGGTCGACAAACCAATGAATTCATGGACACCACTGGAAATAACCTCCATGCGCTGGGATTCCCAGCTGCCTGATGACATGCAGCCATTCTGAGCTGCCGGAGGTATGAGATCATGTCAAAAGTAGTCTGCATACAAATGCAGTACTCCGGAGCGTTTTATGCGAAGGCTGCGGAGCCAAGTTCTTTGATGGAGCTTTCAAACGAGAGACTTGAGTGTCTGCTTTTATCTCATCCAATCTTCTGCTTCCTCCTGACCCATACGTCCATGTCGTCGATTTCCGATTCTGCCGGCCGCTGTTGAACCTCCCACACTTGGAGCTTATATCTGCCACGGTCTGAATTTCCAGTATGGAGATCGAAAGACCAATCGTGCTGGGGACAAGTAATGCCAGAACTCAGCACGACGCCGAAGTCCTCAATATCGAATGGGATCCCATTGGACAGGGGATAGGATGAGTGTGGACACTCCTACGGCGAGGTCAAATCATGAAGCATGTAGACATTGGCAAGTCCCTGTTCGAGACTGAACTTAATTTTGGCGCAACATACATGATTGATTGCGACAAATTTGCCTTTGTACTTGAAGACCATAACTTGATCTTTTGAGTCTCCAGCTTCTGGGTCTTTCCAGTCGTCAATGGCTACTTCGACGGCTTTAGAACTGTCTTCACGAGGTACATGAAATATTCGGCATCCAGGGATGTACTTGTTCAGGCATTCGCGTTGCGCGCCAACTCGCGTAGAGTCATCGACATCGGGAAATGAAGAAGCTGAACCGACGCAAAACCAAGCTGCACCTGCACGCGAACCTTGAGAGAACGGATTGACAAGAAAGGACATTGATGTCGATGACAGGAGTGGGCGAAGTGTGATGGCCGCATCCGGGGGACCCTAGCATGACTAAGCAGCCATCAGCTTGAACCTAAACAATGATGCAATGTGTTCAATACACCACAATTCCGCCTACAAGGCTGCAGCAACCATTGAATTCCGGGGACGTGTTCTTGACCTAGACCACCGCCAAACGAGCCCCGGAGATTCTCAAGTCCTCCCTTGCGCGCAATAACCAGTATGGTTTGTTACCCCAGTCTGCAGCCAAAGGGTCCAGCTCACACCCCAAATAGAATGCTCTATTCAACTCCGCCCTGCGACAGTCAACGTCAATACGCAAAGACCTAGACCAGTTTGCAGACTCTGCTGCGCCGTCTCCGCATCTTCAAGCACAGCTCAATGCATCCCTCACCACGTTTGCGCGCACCATCGACGACTATGGCAAGCTCGCCAAGCAGGAACCCGTCCAGACGAAGCAGGAAAAGGCATTTGAGCGATTGAAGAACTTCCGGAACGAGCTGGATGAATATAGAGCCAGCTTCAAGCGCATCAAGAGCGCAAACGAGGACGTGGTATGTAGTTGCGCAATCAGCAGGAGCGCCTGAACAAGGCAAGAGCGAATAGTCCTAACGAATCCTAGCAAACAATCGAAGCGCGAACAGAACTGCTAGGCCGCCGCCCACATCACGCTGCCACACCCGAAAACCCATACTCGTTGCCCAACACAAGCGCAGCTGCAGCACACTCGCCGTTCGCGCCTGCCTCTTACGATCCCAACGCGCCATACCGACCTAATGCGTACTCTGCCGGCGCCCAACAAGGCCCTGAATATGATCGCGAGGGTCACGTGCTTCGCGAGCATACGTTCTTCAAGCACACGTCTGACCAACTCTGGACGAGTTCCTAGATAGAGGACGTACTGTTCTGGGCGACCTCGGCCAGCAAAGAGAGATGCTCAAAGGCACGCAAAGAAGGCTGTATAGTGCAGCAAATACACTGGGTATCAGTGGTGACACTATACGTATGGTCGAGCGCAGAGCCAAGCAAGACAAGTGGATATTCTACACTGGAGTCGTCGTCTTCTTCTTGTTCTGCTGGCTTGTCATACATTACCTACGATGAGCGTGGGTTTCGGATGGGAATTTTGGGGTTATAGTATTGCTTCAAGCGGCATTAGCAGGGCGTATGGCGCTACTCATGGGCGGAATATGGTCAATCTATGGCATGTTGGTACGTACTATACGAGACCTGTTGTGCATATATGCATGCCGACTAGGATCGCGCACGCGCACTCGGACTAATATATACAACGAATTGAATTTACTCTACTGGCAACAAAGCACTGGTTCAAAGAAGAACATAACGTTAATCTGGCCAAAGCCAACATAACGCTCAAAAGACATTCTTTCTAATTCATCAAAGACAAAACAATTGTACTATGCCTCCGGAACCAGACGTTAATATGAGTAATAATTAGAAGAATAAGGAGAAGAATTCTCCAGTCTCTTCAGCCGTCGATTCATATCGTCCATTTCAGCAGCTTGACACTCCTGCTCAACCGCAAGCGCCTCATACCCCTCATCATCACAATAATCCGGTATCCTTGGCTGCATAACAGGACTCGACCACGCTGACCGATACCATCTATTTAATCGCCAGTCCGGGCTCGGGATCCGCGGGCACCTGTACCCAGGCGCCGACAAAGGCCGGCCCAAATCCAGCGGCGGACCTATCATTCTCGGCGATGGTATTCTCGGCCAGGACTGCGCCGCCTCAATAGCCTTTTTCATCTTCGTCGCGTCTGAGTCGTACCATTTGTGCGGGCTCCAGCTCGAGCGGCCGCAGCCTGTCAGTTGGGCGATGAGTTGCTGGAGCATGTGGGGGTCAGGGAAGACACCATGGAGCTCGTGGAGTGCCTGGTTCCATTCGCGGAGATAATAGTGCGACTCGTATTGCACTACATCGTGGATGTTGTTGGAGAGGAATGAGGCAATGGCGATTGCGAGTGGGATAGAGTGCGTGCAGCGAGCGAGAGCGGCGAGGATGAGGAAGTGCGACCGACTGGCTTTTAGACCTGAGAGCTGATTGCCGTATTTATCTTCGTGCAGGAGTGATTGGAGTGTTTCTGTGGTAAAATTCGCTGCATTGCGATGGTGGTGACGGCTGAGGGTCTGGAACAAATCCCTAATGACTTTCCGAACGGTACTGGGGGCGATGCTGGTTTGGCTGCATGCAGATAGACTATTCTCGACGGCGTCTACAATATCATCTCCACGGATGTGGCTCCAAGAGTTCGCATTGGGGAGCCAGGATTTCGCTACTGTGTTATCGACGGTGAACAACTTGCCATCGATGGAGATCCGCACCATGGCTGCGCAGTGCTGTCTTGTCTGTTCTGGAGTGTGAAAAGCTTTGGGAGAGCAAGGAGAGGAAGGGTACTTTGCTTGTCTGTCAAAATTGTGAGATATGCGATGCTGATTTCTGGAGGACAGCTTAATTCATTACACCAGGATAATCACTCTATATACTCTGCGGTCGTATTCAGCCTCACTACGTACAACGCAGTGCAATCTTACCGGTGAGTCCGGCCTATGCCGAACGTTGCACATGAATTGTTTGCTACCTCCCAAGATGACAGGACCTCAATGGCACCACAAGCGTTAGCAGCATAGCAGATACCTACCAAAACACGTCATCTCCCAAAGACTCCCAGTTCCCCGCCGCACTGTAACATTCAAGGCCAATGACGAGCTTTCTCAATATGACCGAGACATCATGTAACGTGTTGGTAACCGCGTACATGCATGATACAATCAGCCAGACAGGAAGCAACACTACTTCTAGCTTACAAAATAGTATAAGATGAAGTCGCATCAACGCTATCGAAGCCGACGAGCCGAAAAGAGGTGTTAACAGAACCTGCCACTTTCCATCTGTTTCGCATCACCTTTTCAGTGTTGTGGCCTCGGTCACTGAGTCGACAATCCTGAGCATGACTTCTGGGCTTCAACGAGGCTCTATGGAGTACGTCTCAAGCTCAGGTTGGAATCGGGCCATGTTCGGGCAAAGGACACGATCGATGAGTATCTCTGGAACGGTGAGCCACGCGCTTCCCGTGTAATACAACCCTGTCTGGGTCTTGTAAAGTAGCTCAAGTCACAAAGTAGCTCAAGTCATCTAGTATCGGAGAATTGAGCATGTGATGGAGCTATGATGAGCAGGTGACCTCTAAATACCTATGAGGACATGTCCAAGCCAGCGCCCAAGTGTAAGCCTTCACCGCAAAATGCCACGACCAACCAACCTTGCTCGACTGCTCCCGGGGCGTCTCGCCAGCGGACATCTGTACCCACTTGCGCACATGTCTTGTCGCCTGAGGCTCTGAACTCCGATCGAGCGTTAGCAACCATACATAACATGCTATGCTCCAATTGTAAGTCGTAATCTGTAATACAAAGCTGGCAATACGACTGGTGTAGCTAGTGTTGGCTCAAGCCACGGAATCAAGCTTCAACTAATTGGGTACAAGAGCTCGATCTCGACCCTTGGGTCTCATACCCGATAGCGGCTGATAAACTCTCAACATCAGGACAGCAGCTTAGTACGTGGCAGCCATGGAGCCCGGGATTAGAACGGTACCAACCTCGCGGCCTTGTGGAACGTAGTGCTAGCAGACTAAAAGTCATTTGTAATCAGCCTGACACTGCGCGTCCGCCTCAATATCATACCATCTGCCACGACGTGACGCGTGAGAATCATCAAACAACCTCAGCTACTAAGTGCTACACTACCCTACATCACATACCCAGTGCAATGGGTGAAATCTAGCGTCCAAAAGCGTCGTACATGTACGTGTTCACATTTCAAACTACACTGGGAATCTCTGCACCAAAATCGAACGCCTCATATGATCCAACAACGCCCTTTTCAAACACGTCTACCAGTCCAGCCCGCCAGCACCCCTCTCGCCCCCTGCCAAAATCATCGCAGCCTTGCCCTTCTCACCAAGCCCATTTTCCAGATGTGAGACTTGCGTCCCCTTCCTGCCCTTCAACGCCAACCGCTCCAGCTTCTTATCCAGCGCCACAAACGGATCTTCCGTCTCGCTCTTCTTGATGACAAACTTCGACGTGCCCAACACACTGTCCAACTCCTCCACACTCGGTAGCTTGACGTACAAATACCCATCGCCGCGCTCCTCAATCGGGAACACTGCAATGTTGACCGACTCGTCATTTGCGCATTTACCTGCGTTGTCGCCGCTGAGTTCGTAGTTGCGCTTGTGGTACGGACACGAGACCCAGAGTTTGTTGCTTGCGAGGTCCTCGCCGAGCAGGCCATCTGAGAGCACGAATGCCCGCTTGTGCGGACACATTTGCTGCGTGCAGTAGTATTTGCCGCGGACTTTGAAGACGGCGAGTTGCGTGTCGCCGCGCTTGATAGCCTTGCTATCGCCCGTATCTGTATCTTTGAATTCCTCGGCTTTGACGAGCGGCTGCCATGATAATTCAGACCACTTGTGGCCGCGGAAGTCTTCTGTGATGGAGTCTTTGGGCCAGTAGCTGGGGCGCTCTTGGCCGCGCTCTTGCGTGGGCTCGATGGTGTCGCTGATGGTTTCGGATGTGTTTGCGAATTGGGAGAACCAGGAGCGCTTCTTAGGGTCTTTGAGGACTTCGGTCCATTCGCAGAAGAAGGTACCGACGAGGTCTTCCATTTGCTTTTCGAGATCCGCGCAGATCCCGAGCTTGTCTTCAAGGATCACTTCTTGTAGGTATTTTATGCCGCCTGGTAGGTTCTCCATCCATCGCGCGGTTCTTTGCAGCTTGTCGGCGGTGCGGATGTAGAACGAGAGATAGCGATCGAGGATTGGCACGACATCATCAGGCGGGACGTCCTTTGCCAGGAGTTCTGAGTGCCGCGGTTTCGCGCCACCGTTACCACCGACGAAAATGTTGAAGCCCTTCTCCGTTGCGATCAACCCAAAGTCCTTGTTCTGCGCCTCAGCACACTCGCGAACGCAGCCTGACACTCCGCCCTTGATCTTGTGCGGTCCACGGATCGACTTGTATCGCTCCTCCAGACGCACAGCCATACCAACACTGTCGCCAATACCGAAGCGGCACCATGTCGTTCCCACACATGACTTGACTGTTCGTAATGATTTCGCGTACGCGTGACCAGACTCCATGCCGCCGTCGATTAACTCTTGCCAAATTTCAGGCAGTTGGTGTTTCTTCGCACCAAACATGTCAATACGCTGTCCACCAGTAATCTTCGTGTAGAGGTTGTACTTCTTCGCCACCATGCCGATGACAATGAGCTTCTCCGGTGTGATCTCGCCACCTGATACACGCGGTACGACCGAGAATGTGCCATTGCGCTGGATGTTGGCCAGAAACCTGTCGTTCGTCTCTTGTAGACCTCTCCTGTCCAGGTCGAGCAAGTGTTTGTTGTACAGCGATGCAATGATTGATCCAATAGTAGGCTTGCAGGCTTCGCAACCTAGTGACTCAGGCTCCTTTCCACAAGCTTTCATGACTGCCGAGAAGTCCTTGAGCTCCTTGACGTAGATGATGTTGAACAAGTCTGCGCGAGAGTGTTCAAAGTGCGGGCATACGTGGTTCTTCACCTCGTTACCCATAGATGCCATGGTCTTGTTGAAGATTGTTTGAACGAGTGGCATGCAGCCACCACACCCAGTTCCGGCTTTTGTGCATGATTTGACGTCGCCGATGCTCTTGCATGTTCCGTCCTTGACGGAGTTGACTACATCGCCTTTCGTTACATTGTGACATGAGCAGATTTGCGTATCGTCAGTGAGATCTGAGCCGTCGTCGTCGCCCTTTGACGCTCCGATAATGAGCTCGCTTGGTGGCATATCAAGCGGCTTCTGATTCTTGACCATTGGTACGAGCTTTACGTAGTCCTTGGTGTCACCGATCATCATTCCACCCAGCAAGTACTTTCCGTCCATTGTAAAGAGGTATTTCTTGTAAACTTGTTGGAATGGATCCTTGTACGTGAGCGCCTTGACTGGTGGAGGAGCTGGGCCATCAGTCAAATTCTTGACCTTGTCTCGAGGTGTCGTACCATTAATGCCTCCAGCCTCTTTCTTCTCAGCTCGCTGTCTTCCAGGCATGTTCTTCGGTCCATCTCTGTCTGCAAAGAAGTCGCCAAAACTGGCAACCTCAACACCGAGAAGTTTAAGCTTCGTGCTCAGATCTGGGCTCTTGAACTTCCGTGGAGCATGTGCCTTTGCTTGTGTGAGGTTGAAAGCCAGGACATCTGCTTGCTCCACTCCGGGTGCGATTAGGCCAAAGGTCTGGTTCTCCCAGCTTGCACACTCGCCAATAGCGTAAATGTCTGGTTTTGAGGTCGTGAGGTCGGATCCGACAACGATGCCACCGCCCCTGTCAGCGCACTTGATGCCAGACTTTCTCGCCAGTTCGTCTCGCGATTTAATTCCAATGGCGAAGCATATGCAAGAGCACTCCATCTCTTCACCGTCTTCGAAGACAACACCCTTCACAGCGTTCTCTTCAGTCGTCAAGATCTTGCCAACTCTTTTGCTGAGCATGACATCAAGTCCAAGCGCGCGGACTTGCTCGACAACCATGCCACCTGCGTCGCCATCGAGCTGCCTTGATAGCACCCATCGGTTTCGCTCAATGAGTCTCACTTGACCAAAGTCTTCGAGATCCATCATCGCTTTCGCAGCCTCAAGACCCAACAGGCCTCCTCCTACAACAGCACCGGTGGTGCCTTTTCGAGATGAGGCGAATTCGATGAGATTTTGCAGGTCTTCGATGGTGCGGTACACGAACACGCCCTTTGCATCGTGACCTGGAGTATGTCTTGGTAGCAAGGCATCTGATCCGGTCGCGAGAACTAGAATGTCATATGGAACGGTGTCGCCTGAAGACGTCTTAACCGTCTTATTGTCCGAGTCGATCTCAGTTACCATGGTGTTGAGATGGTAGTTCAATGACCCTTCCGGCATGGATGAATACTGCCTCATATCAGCTTCTTTCACTTCGCCGCCAAACTTCCAATCTGCTTACCCATTCCTTGGGGTTCAGGTACAAGTTCTCAACCAGCCGATGCTGAAAGAAACTCGTTAAACCAACGCGGTTGTACGCCAAATGTGGTTCTTCGCCAATCACCACAACATCATATTCTCTCCGCTTTACATCGTACTTCATTAATTTTTCGCTAGTAAATCGTCAGCCATCTTCTCCATCAACATCAACATCAACATCTGAGGACGCACATGAACGCAATACCAACCATTCCCAGCCCAACAACAACAATCTTTTTCCGTTGGCCATCCTGGTTGATCTCGCCCTTCTTCTCCAACTCCGCTACTTTTTCAGGCAGTTTATTCGCCTCTGGGTCATTCCACTCCGCGTTGGAAATATTGCCGTCTTTTGATCCCCATGTTGCTGAGACATGGCGTTCGCCAGGCGGCGAATGCGATTCGCCCGACGATGGCTCAATGCCCTGTGTGATAATGGGCTCAGTCCCCGCCATTATGGAAGTACTCGACTGTATGGTACGGCGCGTACACACTTGGGAGTAAATGATGATCGCACAGTAACAAAAGAAAGCGATATCACAACCAAGTGATCGCTTAGAAGAATGCAGAGTGAAGAAATCAAGGAGCACGAGTTCACAAGTTCAAGAATTAGAAAGCACGAACTACATCAAACCGATCAATGATAGGTCAAATCCATTCTCGCATCAACAACTCCGTGGACACGCACATCTCCCGCACATGCGCATCTCAACATACTTTCCACGCTACCCCAGCGATAAAGCAAAACACCAATTGGTCGTGCCCCGCGGCGAACTGCGGAGATGCACCAGCTCATGCGGCTGAAGTCGGTGGCGCCGAATCACAGCTTTGACAATTAATATCAGCAGACGTTTGCTTTTCTCCGAGGGGAGATGACACGAGACGGGAGGGGGAGCAGGGGGAGCGCGACTGATAAGGAAGCGAACACGCTTGTGGTGCCAAGGAGGCTAGACAGGGGTGCTTATCGCGACGAGAAGGGACGGAGATGGGGATGGGAGAGGTTGGACTTCCGGGTGGTTTGATGAGGGAGGGCTGATGAGGTGGGTTCTTGAGAAGTGGTTGGGGAAGGAGGTAGGAAAGGTGTGATGGTGTGTATGGGTTTGAAGGGACGACACAAACACGCCAACGCAGAAGACTGGTCTGAAAGTGTCGAATTTAGTCGTATTCTTCATGAGAAACCAAAGTGCTCAATATACTTTCTGCACAACAATGCCCCAAACACCCATACCATACCAAAATATATGTAACTCCAGTGCCCCAGGTATAACATCCCATAACCATCTAGAAGAACATCAAATCCTCGTCCCTCCACCCCATCTCATTCAGCGCCTTGTGCGTACTCTTCTCCAACGCCTCCGGCCCACAAATCAACACCAAACTGCTCCCCTCGCCATCGACCTTACACTGCTCCCCCAACAACTCCTTCCCAATTCTGCCCCTCAAGCCCTCCCAATCCTCCGGTCCCTTAGTAAGCGTGTATAGCAACTTACACCTCTCCGGGTTCTCCCTCGCGAACACATCCAAGTCCTCGCGACACAGGATATCTTCTACCAGACGGTTGCCATTCAGGACCGTGCAATGGGTCGGGTCGTTTTTATCCTGCATAACAGCGCGCAGGACCTGGAAAATAGGCGTGATGCCACTTCCTCCACAGACCATGTATAATTTCTTAACACTTCGCTGTTTCCCATTGATACTACAGCGCCCATTTCCCAGATATTCAAACTTGCCAATCGGGCCCTTAAAATCCACAAAATGGCCGACGGGAATCGCATCGAGCGCTTTGGTCATTTTCCCGCCGACTTTTTCTTGCGTGTCGGCGTACACTTTGATTAGCACGTCGCAGAAGCCGAGTTTGGAGGTTTGCGAAATGGGCGTGTAGGAGCGGATGATGGCTTCGCGGGTCACGGGGTCGCGCAAGCGGATCATTAGGTGTTGGCCTGTGGGGAGGCCGAGGGCTTGTTGGTCGTGGTCGAGCTTGAAGGTGAAAATGCGGGTGTCCCACGATACTGGGGTTTTCGCGTGGAGTAGGGCCCGGTTCCATATGCGTGCATCTAGGAAGACTGGTCGGGGCTCGGTGGACTCGTTGACGGGTTCGCCTTCGGCTAGGACTTTGCGGGATGCTTCGTCGAGGCTGCCGATGTGATAGTCTGGCATCATTGCTTTGGCAGTCTCGCTGTCTTGTAGAGTGTTAGTTGTGTTTCCTGTTCGAGATTAGAATATTGTGAAGACTCACGAATTGCCATGAACTCGTCTGAAGCATCAAGCCCTGCTGCGCTGACAATACTTTGCGCGCCACCGGGATGACCTTCTAGAAATACAGTTCCATCGTAGACCTCACCATTGACGACGAACCAAGGATTCTCCGCATTGTCGTGTTTCCTGAGTTCGTCGATCGATATCTGCTTGTCAACACCGTCTTTTGTCATCTTGATCTCCTTAGCGTCCTCGATAGCAGCGTGCTCTGGCTCCTGCCCATTGATGTGTTCACCCCAATACCCATTCGTCAAGTTGCCACCTGCCTTCTTGATCCTCTCCATCCAACCTCCAGGCATCAAGGCAGGTTGTGTTGGGTGCTCAAAGCGGAGCGTGTCGCCTTCCTTGTGGATGACTATTCTGAACCAGGGGTTGTTCATCATACCGAGTACACTCCAGTACATGTCACGCGGCTGTATGCACATGGCCTCATCCATAACGCGGACGACAATGTCATCAGTTTCTTGCAGCTCAGCGATCGCAATGTCAAGGTTCCAGAAACACCAGCAGAAACTCGTTTCTCGCCAGTCCATGTCGAGACGGCCGCCGAAAAGTTCGCGGTCTTCGTGGGCACGGTACTTGTCTTCTGCATAGTCGATATTGGCCAAGCGCCACGTTTTGCCCTTGTCTAGCGAGACTTCACATCGAGTTATGCGACGTCCACCGCCACTGTAGGCGTAGCCTTCAACTTTGTAGGACTTGGGTGCTGATTTAATTTCAAGTTTTTCATCATGCGCGGGACGTGCAATGGCAGAATTAGGACTCAGGTCGTAGATGGCGTAGCGGTCATCCATCCACCATTTTGGGTTCTTTGCAGCCTCGTCTGGGTCGATGGTTGTTCTGTAGAGCGTAAGCACAGGATCTTGAGTGGTGATGTAGTACTTACGGTAATACTCGGTTGTCGTAAATGTGGTACCAGTTGTCACTTGGCTCAGCCGTAATGATCAACTTCTTTAGCCACTTTACACTTCTTCCTCCAATCTGACCAGGGATGACTGCTCGAAGCGGCTTGCCATGGTCAGGTCGCAGCATCTCGCCGTTCATACCATGAGCAAGCATGATTCCTCGGTTTGGGTCCATCACCCAGTTCAACTTGACTGAGGTGCCGTAATAACCGTTAGGCTAAGAAAGATATTAGTCACAATGTTGTCTTAACGTCCTGTCAACTTACTAGCTTATCTGCTCCCTCCATACAGACATACTTTGCGCGCTTCAAAGGCTTTGCGCGTTCAATAATGTCTTTCATCACTACACCAGTGAACAATGCAGTGGATAAACCAGCTGGTCCCCATGAAAATCCCTTGCTCTTCCTTACAACATTTTGCTCTTTACGTCTGTTACCAGCACAGACTAGTGTGATGGGATATGTCACATTTTCGTACTCTTCCAGCAATTGCCGTAGTGTTATCTTGAGAGGATTTGCTACAAGACTTTGATCATGTTAGCCCTGGGGTAATTATGTGATCCTCAAGCTTTCAACTTACCCTTCGACTGAGAACTCCCAATCTAAACATTCGGAGTCGTGTACTTCTGGCACAGCTCCGTGATTGCGAACGTAGAATAGTTCCGGACTAGTGAGGAAGCCTTCGTTGAACAAATCGGTCAAAGGTGCTTCGACGTTGAACGGATGCACTCCCGTTAATCTTATCAACCGTGGGTCGCGAGGTACGTGAGCATCTGGGGTTTTCTGGTCGACATCCAATGTTTTGGTTGGAATGGTTGTGGGTGGTGGAAGAGCGAAATCCGGTTCCGAGTTTGAAGCATTTGATTTGCTGTCATCACCATTTACCGTCTCAGGCGGCGAAGGTGGCAGTTGAATACTTTTCGATGCTGCGTAGAGTTGTGGTTGGTGTTCAGTGGGTGGAGGAAGAGGCACTCCAGCCTTGTTCTCAATAGCGACGCTCATCATGGACAGAAAGAATCGTGTCGTTTGGCCAAAAGACAAGAGGGTGTATATTACTCGAGACGTATCAAAGAAATCGCAAAGTGTAGCAAGATTATCACACTTATCAACCCTTTAGAAAAGAATACAGAGGTGGCGCTGAAAGAGCAACGTGCAAGAAACGTGCCCGAATAGAGAGGAGTGAATTTCGATCTTTACGACTCGGGTACCGGTGACAGAGACCTTCCGATCCACAATTGACTAGCCAAACCTCTCTCGTGCACTGTTATTTTAGGGCGACTAGGGCTTCGTCATTCTCCTTACCATCACAATCGCGGATCGCGGAGAAACGCACTGCACATCGGTTTGACGGTCTCATCCGCGGAGACCTATCAGTGCGGAGTCCTTGATGTGGAGAAAGCACCCAGTGCCGCATGCCGTCATCATCCTAGCTAGAATCAAGTACCAGTCTGGTGTAAAACGTTTGGGATACGCTGATTTTCGAGCTGATATGCGACCTTATCTTTAGCGCTGGTTTGAGCTTAGCGTATAGATACATGTGGCGAAGGCGTGTGTTGTGCCGTAGTCTAGCCATGCAAATGAGGGAAGTGTTCCTGGCCGGACCCTGTTGAGGACGTGCGTGTGGGGGTATCAAGACCTCCATAACTTTTGACACTGCTTGGCGAGGGTACTTGAGTAACGTCTCTCCCTAAACTTTAATCTTCAGACAGGACAACACTTCAACTTCGAATAGAGGTCTGGCGCGCGATTTGCCTAGTGCTGCTAGGGCGAAATGTTCGTGCTGCCACTGTCTCATCGATGCTGTGGGGCTGCGGGAAAATCGCGCTGACAGTTTGCATCGTTGGGCATCTCGAGATCTGCCCGGAACAACACCGCATTGCTGTAAAAGTGCGGTCGCATAATTTGAAAAAGGCGTGGGTAGTGGACGGTTCGTGTCATGGTGCAAGATAGGTCCCGGGTTTAGAAGGCGTTGCGGTCGCTATTCACATAAGGTCGTGCTGTTCTATAATGCTTCTCCGCGGCGCAGCCAGCCTTGCCGAGACCATCCGCTACTCCGTCACCAGCTTGCGCGAAGTGCGCGACGCGATGTAAATCTCGCGACGAACTGTGGAGGTTCATATCAATTCAATTCATCGCAAAATCAGCTCAGCATTTTGTTCTTGAGCGTTTGGCCACGTTGCTCGATAGGTCCGACTTCGACTTGACCTTGAAGCCGTTGTCGCATCGTGTCTGCCCGTTGCTTCATGCGCTTCTCGCCCCTCTCCCTGGTAGCCGCCTTGTCAAAGCGTCCTTTAACGCCGTGCTTCAAGCGCGTAATCATGTCTCCCGCTTTGCCTTTGGTCAAATCTTCGGGTTTGAGACGATCGCCCTCGGGCCTGAACTTATTTAGAAAGTCCACTTGGGCCTGTGAGGCGCGGCTTCTGCGCCAAGGTTGATTCTTTGCAATCCACATGTATTCAAAAGCTTCCGATGCATACGTGTCTGCTGCGTGAACAACGTGCTCAAAGGACTCACCTGCGGCGATAACGCGGGGTGTGGCATAAGGACTTTTGGCCTTTTTATCTGCAGGCAGTCTCCAGTAATATCGAGCTCTAAAAGCGCCTTCGTCCTTGTCAGAAGGCTCGATGATGAGATAGTTGCCACTATTCGTCGTCAGGACAAACCTTCCCTCACCAACACCAACCCAAGCGAAAGGACTCAGGTTTCGAATGAATTGATCACCGGAGGTATCTGCTATCAGATCGTGGACAGAATCGTAGTCCGTGAAGGTAATGCTCCCGGGCACTTTCTTCGTGACCGCCTTCTTCTTGAGCTCCTCTGCCTCTGCTTCACGCTGCTGCTCAACCTGCTTCCTCTCTTTGAGTTCGGTCAAATTCTTGGTGTTTGCGTTCTCGACGATCTCTCCAGGATCCAGACCGAAAAGTGTAGGCGTTGACACCACACCGCTACTCAATGCAGCCACCATGTCGATTATGTGACAGTTTTCTTTTCCTTTGTGAAGCCGCATTCCTCGGCCTATCATTTGGACCAGCAAATTGCGTGACTTGGTCGGGCGAGCAAGGAGCACGCAATCAATATTTGGAATATCCGTACCCTCGGTGAACACTCCACAGTTGAGCAGTACTGGGAACTCGCCATTTCGGAATGCGTCAATTCTAGCACTGCGGATCTTGGCTGGTGTGTCTCCGGTGACAAATTGAGCATCTATGCCATACGCGCGAAACCTTGCAGTCAAACTAGTGACGTGACTAAGATCGACACAAAATATCAAGGTCGAAGTGCGATCCTTTGCTTTGGTCGACCAGGCTTGCACAACAAGCTCATTGGTTTCGTCGGTGTTGATGGCTTTGGAAAGAGCTGCAGTTTGGAAGTCGCCGTTGGCATTGGAGCTTATTTTGCTCAGATCCGCCTTGATCTGTACAGTGGTGAAGACAACATCCGACAGCCAATTCTCTTCGATCATATCGACATAGTCACTACAGAGTCAGCGCAAGCTCTTCTGTTTAGCAAGATGATGCATACCGATGATATACAATGTGGTCGATGACAGCACCGAGTGCCCTGCCATCGAAGCGAGAAAAGGTGGCCGAGACACCAACAAGTGCAGGGGCACTGCTCTCACTCCAGTCTGATGAAGCATTGCGTAGCCCAAAGTGCTCAAGCACGTTGAGATACGTCTGGCTCACTATGTGATGTGCTTCATCAACAAGAATAAGCTTGTATCTCGACGGGTCGAATTTCTGCAGTCTTTCGCCAGAAGTGATGCTCTGTACTGAGGCAACAGTGATGTCAGCGGCACCTGAGGCCTGATTGTTGCCCATCTCAATGTCTACATGCTTATCGGGATATGCTTGGGTGCAGTGTCGGGCGGCTTGTTCGACAAGCTCGCGGCGATGGGCGAGGATGAGCGTCTGCGAGGCATCGCCGGTGGTGGGTATCCGGTCGATGAGATGAGTAAAGATGACTGTCTTGCCAGAGCCTGTAGCCAAAGACACACCCAGACGCTTGTGGCCTGCATTGAGGTAGGAGAGCACTGCTTGTATGCATTCTTCTTGATACTCGCGCAACTTGAGCTTTGGGAGTGGTGGGGGCGGTGATACGGGTGGCTGCACGTCTACGACCTTGGGTTTACGAATGCGTGACGCGTGCCTGACAGCCACACGCGCGGGAACAGTGCCCGCTCGCGTGTAGATCCTCAGCGCATGGCGAAAGAGGGCAAACATGAGACGTGGTCCGAGGCAGGATGAGGTGCGAAAGTGTCGCGAAGTCACCTGCACGATGCATGACGCAGCCAAGGGCACGCCTCAGTTCAGCTTAACGCCGGGCGGGCGCGTCTTAACCCCACTAAATGTTTTCTCGACTTTCACCTCGCGCAGCACTCCACCCTTCACCACCATGGATTGCCTGGATATATCTGCACTCGTCCGCGCCTCAACTTTACGTGTTGAGCACGGCGGGTACATACAACCTCGACTGCTGCGCCCACGATGGGTTCTAACGAGGATGACGAGAACCGCTCACCACCACGCCGCCGTTCCAGCACTCCCGATACGCCTCGAAAGCGACGACGGCTAGGCTCACTCAAGCTCGATGCAGCTGGCCTCCGTAAACATGATCTTCTCCGAAGACGCACAGTAGAAGCCAACTACAACGACGAATACCGCGAGCTTTTCAATGAGCAAGTGACGCAAGCCGCCTCACGCTTCCACACCGACGAGTCTGTGCGATATTACACCAAGCAAGTCGGAACATCGACCTGGTCACCTAGTGAGCAGGCTGTCTTCTTCGCCGCCCTCGAGCGATTAGGCAAGGACGACCTACCGGGCATAGCAAGAGCGATAGGCACCAAAGCCGAGACAGAAGCACGCGACTTTCTCCTTGTACTGCAGGATGCAGCTGCCAAGCACGTCGACGCAAAGGTGACACTGCGCGACATTCCTGCTGCGATTGAGCTTGGCGATGCGTGCAGTCAAACGCTGGAAGAAGCAGCGGATGCACTAGCGTGGTACCAGGAGAGGTTCGACGCTGAACAGGAACAAGAGCGCTATGGCGAATACTGGCTCATAACGCCTTCCATAGCCGAGGAAATCGAGGATGCCATCAATGGAAGTGTCCCATCGAGGCCTGCCTCTGTGTCTGGAGAACGAGAGCCGAGTAGGTATCGCAAAGGGGTCGCCGGGTATGTCTATGCGTTGTAACTTCTTGGTATTGAACTGACATGTCAGGGCATGCGCGAGTTGCAAGAAAAGCAAGAGGAAGTGCGACCGCCAGGTTCCATGCGCTCAATGTGTGAAAGCTGGGACCAACTGCGTATACCCAAAGGACCCACCTAGCCTTGTCAAGCCAGATTCTGCTCTGGAGCGCATGCATGAATCCACCGTAGGGACAGACGTCCCTCCGGCTTATACTTCTGAAGCCCCCATTCTGCGGGCGATACCAGAGGCACGTCTTCTCCAGCCCGAAGTGATGCTCACCTTGTCCCGAGAAGTATTCATGAACCGATCAGACGACATTCCCTCTCCCTGGCCACACTGGTCTCACTACATCTCCGAGGTTGCCACAGAGCCGTCCATCTATCGTACAGCATTAAACGACTTTCATCGACTGGTCCTTTCCGTGACTAAACGTCTCGTACAGACCGCAATCATACAGGCCACTTCCAGGATGAGATCGCAGCGATCCCGCAAGGAAAAGGGATCATACCCACTGATCAAATCCAGGGACGTCTATACTGCCATCGATGTACTCGGCATGAAGCGAAACGGAAGCGAGAGGTGGCAGGGCGTACCCAGACGTTGCGGACTGAAGGTGACTGCATCCAAATTAACGACGCAGGGTCGGCGCACCAGAGAAGTGCCCTGGGGTGAAGTTGAAAGCATCATGGGTCCAGTGAGTTCGTCGAGTGAGTATGTCGATACATCAGGTGGACCAAACAAGTTCAAATCGAGAGCGGCGCGCAGCGGCACCCCACTGCCCATGCACAATCTCACTTTGTCAGATTCTGATGACGAAGTTATTGACGTGGACATGGTCGACGATGACGACAGCGACTCTTCGGAGCATTTTACGGATGTCGAAGCACGACCTCCTGCGCAACGTGTTCTACAGCCGAGAGACCCAACTGGCAGATACGCAACGCTCCCACCTGAGACACAAGCCGACGAAATTCCGCATCAGGTGAAGACTCTAGAGGAATTTGATCAGGAAGCTACTTGGCATGAGGAGAGGGTGCTCTGGGATATGCTTGGCGTCAACTCAGCAGCCAACGACGAGAAAGCGAAAACCGGCGACAAAGTAGACGAAGTACAGGACCCCAGCGTTGGAGTCGACGAGAAGGTTGCGACAACGTCTTGCGACTGGCGACAGCTCATGGAATACCGTGCTCCGTGGGAAAAGTACGAGACTACAATGTTGGAAGCGCAGTTGCTCGCGAATCAGAAGCGATCAAACCCCAAGTTAGGCAGATCTGGTTCACGTGCGCAGAGCACTGGATCTCTGTCCGGTGATTTCAGCGATGGTTCTTCAACAACACGTTCAAGGAGGGCAGGGCTCAAGTCCACAACCGAAATCAATCTGCACGTCAGAGGCACAAATGCTTACGCGGCTTTGCAGGGGGTGGAGCACACGAGTTCTGACAGGAACAACAGCGATTCTGACCCTAAGAGCGCAACTCCCGATGAGGACGTGCCCACGCAATCTATTGAAGCCGGACAAGGCGAAGCCGATGGCTATGATTCTGAGAGTGACATGGACTGGTCATAGAAAGGCAGCTCATCAATGCGTCCGATGTCACGTGAATGGAGAACGCTTATTATGTAGGGAAGAACAGGTCCGTGGCCATGTTTTGACTCACTTATGGAAGTGCATAGCGTCCGAATGACCTTCTGCCTCTCGCATCAAATATACGGTCTAACAATTCCCTGCACTGTGTCCCAAACAACGTCTCCAGCCTTTGCCCGCAGTTTTACCATCTCTTTCTCATTCGCCACCGCATCGCACTTCCTGTTCACAAGAAACAATCCTCCACTCTCTTTCCCTCTCGTCGTCTTCCCCACCACACACTCCTTTGGTCCCTTACCACCAAACGCCTCACTCGTCACCTGATACAAATACCTCTCCGCACTCTCCTCAAAACTAATCGCAACCAACCTAAGAATCGGATCGAAGAAAATCGCACTCAGCCACGGTCCCCAACTCCCTTCATCCCAGCCGCGAAACAAATTCCCAGTCCGCACAATACCCGGGTGGCTATGTATGAACACAATCTCCGCATTCTCCGGCTCTTCCGCGAGCTTCTCGAGCGTCAACGTGTTCATCATACCCACGTGGAGCTGCGTCCTTGCAACGAACCACGCGGCTTGTTTCTCCAGCGTCAAATCGCCCACATCCAGAAAGCGCGCGGTCTCCATGCCGCCCGCCAAAACGCTAACAACCCGCGCCGCCGGCGAAGCGCGCAGTTCCGGCAGAAGATTCTGCGTGAACGTGATGCGCGTGTAGAGTTCGAGCGCGTGGCTGATGTCCAGACCTTCTTCCGTATCTCGACACTAATCAGCGCTGCTCAAGTCATTGTGTCTTTTCATTTTAGAGCGCAACTTACTCCTCCTTCCCCCCAATGGCGCATACCCCGTCGACATGAACAACAAATCCACCCTCCTTTCACTCTTTTTAATCTCTTCACACACCCGCTTCGCCTCGGCTAGGAGCGAGACTTCGCCCTCGATCCATATCAAGCTGGCTTTCGCATTCACGCCCTTCATTTCCGCAGCGAAGGTGCGGAATGCGGGGAAGCTTGCTTTGCGCCCGATCACGTAGGCTTTGAATTGGAAACCTAGTTTGATCAGCGCGGTTAAGGTGATTTTTCCTATGCCGGCGGTGGCGCCGAGGAAGATGGCGGTTTGGGGGACGGTGGAGGGGGTCAGGTTGGTGTTTGAGGCGTGAATGATGGATAGGTTTGGCATGTTGGCAGTGTGGGATGGAAAAAATTGCGGAATTGTATATGGTTTGTGTATGACGAGGTGTGCGTTTTGTGGAGGGTGGACATAGAACGTTGGTATGGTATGACAGGGCGTTTCGCTTACCGGGCGGAAAGCGGAGGACGAGAAGTCATCCTTCGCTACAGATACTGAAGTGTCCATACTTTCATGCGGTATGCGTACGGTAGTTCTATGCGTAATACAGTGCCGTGGAGTTGTTGAGGGGATGGGTGGTTGAAGCGTGGGTATTTGTGAAGCGCACGCGACATTACTTGGGCACATGCATGTAACCCTTTCAAATGACGAGACAATCTTATTGCTATGAGGCTAGTCGATTTCTGGAGGTTTATTTGAATGGATAAGAAGATCGAATACACATGTGGCTGCGAGTGGAAACATGGAGGGTAGTCTGAGAATCAACTGTAAGTTTTTCCCACGGTCGTTCGTGTATACATATATATGTATCTTTAGGGTCGATTAGAATGTGAAATCATAATTGACAGTGCTTCTCGCATTATTCTACCATACCTATGTACGGCTCTGAAAGCAGATAGACTGATCCAGTAATCATATGATTAAAGTTGTTGGTTCCGAGAGAGCTTCAATTGGTTTCCTATATAACAGTCCAGTGATAAATACTGTCAGTAGAACGATTGTCTTCACATGGTCAAATAGTGATGTCCTTTGGCGCATATTTACTTGATCTTTTGACAAGTCGCGTGTTTTGTGAAAGTAAAGACATATTGCAAGGCTGTAGATGTGAGACACTGACATAGATTGAATCTGCAAGATCTTCTCAAGTATAAGAGAGTTATTTTGTACATGGAGCGAGGCGCCGGCCAAGGACGAGACTGATTACACTACACAGTACGCATTCTCCATGAGATCGTTCTCAATCTAGAAGAATGTATCGCTTTCTCTCGGTCGTGTTCGAGTAGAATTTGCAGCCTGGCTTGGGTACATGCGTGCGCTGGAGCGCTTCGAAAGTTTGCAACGTCATCTCGGACATGCTGGCATTGTATCTCAGCCAGCCGCACGAGGTATCTTGTGCTAGCCTGTCTACGCGAAGCAACTCGCGCTCTAAGAGGAATTATCAGCTCGCTCGCTCGCTCGGCACATGCACTCATCCTTCCAGTCGACGAGACTTCGTTAATGCGCACTATCGCGCTAAGATACAGAAAATCTCTTTCTTTTCTTCAGGTGCGCGTGACTGATGGACCTCACTGATGTTCGATTTCCTGTGAAAATGTTTCCGAGGTCATACGATGCTCAACACGAGTCGTGTTCGACGTTCTGGACCAACGGGGCAGGCCGCATCGCGAATCGTACAACATCCACACAAGTCGGGAACACGTGCGTAGCACAGTTAGACCTTGCTAACACGCTGTGCGGTGGAGATCCCGAGGCTGTGATGATTGATGGCGCATAACAGCAGAAGGAAAGTCACCAATAAGTCAGTGTGCGTCATTCTAGCCCCAAAAGTCGATCACGGCCACCCATCTGAGATCGAGCGGGTCGCTTCCAAAGCCAAATTCCACCTGGTCAACAACAACAGCAGCACCGCCCATTCAGTTGTATCTTTGATCTCATGGCTTGGCGCCACTGACGCGAACGACTTTTGCATCCCATATGTAACTGTCTCATTGGAGGAACATTGTGGCCCGCTCGAAATCCACCGTGTTGACCCCTGCAGATGCGGCGCGTTCAGGCACCGAGGACCAGGAAACACCAGCCGCTTAACACGTGTGCCGCTCGCTAGATCGTGCATGCGAGCCATGGAGAGACGGACTTGTCAAGCCACGCTCTGAAATTCGATATCACGGACGCCGAATTCATGCCGACTGCCCCAAGAACGTACAAAATGCCGCTGCGAAGACGCCACATCAGCCTCGCGCGTGCTTGCCAGTCCAAAAGTGACAACGTGCCCGAACCCAACGGCGAGTCTAATCGGCCGCAAGAACAGTTCCGACAAAACCCGTTGAACCATGAGCCCAGCGCCGTTGCTAGACCCAGCTGAACAGCACAATCTTGACAACAAGAGACAGATGGGTTGAACGCCACATCACAAAGTTTTCAAATTGATAAAGATCCATGGTCGGACAGGAAATCTCCGCCCCATAAGGCGTACCAGTCAGGGCCAATGATAAGCTTCAGCCGGTGGTACAGGATGCGGCTTATATGATCTTGAGATGGACTGATTGCCAGATCGATATGCGGGGCGCTGTCGAGGCATGGCGATACTAGGGTGCCCTTGCAAGCAAGAGTTGGCCACCATGTTATCGACAAGCCGATGGTTGATACAGCGAAGCAGTCTCACACTACTAGCTTCTCCAAGCAATACCTGCGACTTGCCCATCAACACGTTCGACTCGATGTTGGACCACTAACTCTGCAGTGTCAAGTGCGTGCAGAGCCCCAAGGTACTCAAGGACGACATCAAGAAAGTTCAACGTATCCTCATAGCTGCAAACAGCTTCAGGACTTGATGATACAAGACGTCTTAGGAGTACTGCCGGTTCGCATCCCTGCGGTGTTCCGTCAGATCTAAGACGGGGTCTCTACGTGTGCCCTAATAGATCTGGCTGTGGCCTATTCGGGCAGGGGCGGCATCCAGATCATGTCCAGTTCGCTCGCCTCTCGGTCAGAACCGAGGTGAGCCCCACAGAGAACATACCGTTTTGTCGTGGAGGCTCTAGACTCCCACCCGAGTTTGTATATATCCCGGTGGAGATCGCCCAGCTTAGAATGTCATCAGCTATCATCTCTCTTACCGTTGTAGCTGCTCGTCGCTCCGTTCAGGATTCAACTTACCATGCGGTCTGTTGTCCTTGCGACGCTCTTTGGGCTCGTTGCTGCTCAGAGCAATGCATCTAACGCTACTTCCACGCTCACTAGCCTATCCCAACCATCGACAACTCAGGTATCTTCTTCTCAGGCATCTACGGGCTCGAAAACAGCCATCACTGTCGCTCAGGATGGCTCTGGTCAATTTACGGCTATCGGCGCAGCTGTAACAGCAGCACAGATCAGTGGGATTCCGACGGTGACAGTGCTTGCGGGAACATACACCGAAGCCGTCACAATCGGACAGGCCTCAGTCACTATCGTTGGCGCAACAGCCACTGCTGCTGTGGACTGGTCGCAGAATCAGGTCACTGTTTCGAATCCAGCGGCTGCGCTCAGCATCGGCTCCAGCAACGCCAAAGGCATTACGGTACGCAACATCAACTTCGTCAACAGTGCAACAACCGGAGCAGGAGCACAGGCCGTCGCTCTTGCCCTGAGAGGCAGCAATGTTGCTTTCTATGGTTGTTCTATTGTCTCGCCAGGAACGACTGTAATCTCGGTTTCGACGGGAACTGCCTTCTTCGCGAACTCGTATATCGAAGGCTCAACCCAGATGTTCTACAACTCGCTCACGGCCTATGTTTACAACTCAACCATTGTGCCGTTGAACCCCCAGGCGATTGTTGCCTACAACAAGGGCACGGCCACGGCCAATTCGACCATAGTCTTCGATTCCAGCACAATCAAGCCAAAGTCTGATAACACATACAGTGGCGTTTTTCTGGCAGCTCCAAATGGCGCTGGAGCTGTGGCTGTCTTCAGAAACACTATGATGGAATCTTTGGTCTCGCCAGCAGGTATTCATCCTACAGCTGCCAGCTATCAGCCCGTCTTCTTTGGGGAGTTTTTGTCGAGAGGTGCAGGGTCGTACGAGAACAATGCCGCTGCTCGTTCCAAGTACGACGTCTTGTTGAGCCTGGACCAGGTTTCTCAGTTCACCATAGACAAGGTCTACGCCAATGCAATCTACTCAGGCTACAGTAGCTCATCTCTTGGTTGGATAGACCAGAACATCGTTGCATCGATCCAGGCCTCATATGCCTCTCAGGCCGCTGCTTTTTCTCAGATCTCCTCGTCTACAAGCGAATCTTGGTATAGCTCTACACCCATGACCGCAACCGTCTCCACCAGCATGTCTGAAAGCACTTCAAGCTCCGCAAACGCGACAATGACTGTTTCCGCGACCAGCAGCTCAATGTCGGCTGTGGCCACCTGCTCGACCCCACCATCCGCTACGATAGTGGTGTCCAAGACTCCTGGGCCTTGCGAATTCGGCAACATAACATCAGCCATTGGTGCTATACCAAACGATGGGAAAGATTATACCGTCAGTATTGGTGCTGGAACTTACGTCGAGCAATTCTCTATAACCCGTAAGGGCAAAGTCACACTCAGGGGTGCAACTAACTTTACAAACGATTATACCCAGAACCAAGTGCGCGTAGAATTTTCCAGTGGCCGACTGACTAATCTGGGCCAGAATGAGCAGACCCCGGTCATCTATGCGAAGAAGAACGATGTCTCTGGACTTGCACTTCACAACATCGACTTTGCCAACACTTACCCGCAAACTACGAACACTGCCGCCCTGGCTGCTGATTTCTATGGACCGAACATGGCTGCATACGGTTGTTCTTTCATCGGCTTTCAAGACACACTGCTTGCGAATAAGGGAACACAAGTCTTCAGCAACTGCTATATTGAAGGTTCGGGTATGTAACGATGTCTCTGCTTGAAGAGCGCATACTAACCCATTGTTAGTTGATTTTGTATGGGGTTTTTCCACGGCATACTTCCACCAATGCATGATTGTGAGCAACACACCAGGAGCTTGCATTGCCGCGCAGTCTCGAGCCGATGCAAGCACTGTTGGAGGATATGTCTTCGACTCCTGCATGGTCACCTATAGCTCTACATATGGTAGCTCGTTTGGTTTGAGCTACCTTGGGCGGCCATACTCACCGTTCTCCATTGCGGTATATATGAACTCGTACATCGACAAGCACATCAGCTCTGATGGGTGGCAAATATGGTCCACCGGTAATCCGCAAACTTCTGGAGTACTGTTCGGCGAGTTCAATAATTCTGGACCTGGATCGTGGCAATCATCCACCAAGCGTGTCAGCTTTGCGACCAACCTGACTGAAACGCAAGCATCCAAGTACAGTCTTGCAGCATGGATTGGCGATACTACGTGGCTCGACTTTGTCGCGTACAACGTGCAGCCATCATATGCATTGACTGGTCCCTCTTCAGCCATGCCGCCTATCAATGGCACCACAACAGGCCCCACCACCACTGCGACTGTCAACGCGCACCCCAACAGCGGAATGATAGCCCCGGTAGGTGCCGTTATCGTCTCTGTAGACGGTACCCATAATGCTGCATTCTCCAGCCTTACTGCTGCTCTTGCATCCCTTCCGAAGGATTCGACTAACCAAACCATCTTCATGTATCCCGGCTCCTACAATGAGCAAGTTCCGTCTGTGAATCGGCCTGGAGCTGTGCGAATCATCGGCTATACGACCGGTAATCCTGGCCAGTCGTACAAAACCAACCAGGTCACCATTACCTATTCCCGTGGTCTCTCGGTGTCTCCGCTACCTGTCGGCCACTCAAATGCAGAAACTGCCACTTTCGCCACTGCTTCCAGCCGAATCAGCCTCTACAACATCAACATGATTAACACCGACAATCTTGATGGTCTTCAGTCGTCATATGTGACACTTGCTGCTTCCATTTACGGCAACGACATCGCCTTCTATGGCTGTTCGTTCGATGGATGGCAGGATACTTTACTGACTGGCGCTACCGCCGGTTACCAATACTACGAGTCCTGCTACATCGGTGGGGCGATAGATTTCATCTGGGGCTACTCAAAGGCTTACTTCAAGGGCTGTACAATAGGTGCTAAGCGCAAGTCATCATGTGTTACTGCACACAACAGAGCGTCGTCCACAGCTGTTGGTGGGTATATATTCGACCAGTGCCTTTTCACCGCTGCACCTGGTGCAACCGATGATCTCACAAACAGTGTGTACTTGGGCCGTCCTTACTCGCAGTATGCTCTTGTAGTCGTCAAGAACTCCTATCTCGACAAGACTATCGTTCCTGCAGGTTGGAAAATATGGTCAGCTACGGATCCGCGCACCGGCGGCGTCACGTTTGCAGAGTTCAACAATTCTGGTCCGTCAAACTGGGAGAACAATGCCGCCGCTCGCCAAAACTTTGGCTTCGCAACTCTGCTCACTTCAGACACATACTCGCTCTCGTCTGTAATGGACTCAACTGAGTGGATTGACATGACCTACTGGAACTCGATCGTCACGCCTCAGCCACTCATTACTGTACCCGTCCCTACAAACATCACAGTGAATGGCACATCCGTTTTCAATGGTACAGCGCCTCCACTAGGCGCTCTCCTCGTATCCAAGACCCCTATCGACGGTGTAAACACTTATACCACAATTCAGGCTGCTCTGGATGCTGCACCGGTATCAAGCAAAGTCAACGCTACTATCTTCATCTATCCTGGCGTGTACAACGAGCAGCTTATTCTCAACAAGTCCGGTCACACCATATTCAAGGGCTACTCAGAGGCTACTGATGATTATTCGAAGAACCAGGTAACCATCCAATCTAACCGTGGCATCGACACGCAAGGTACATCTGGCAGCAACACAGATGGCGCCACCGTGTATGCAACGGGCAATTTCTTCCACGCATTCAACATCAACTTCAGGAACAACTTCGGCACAACGCAGAATATTGCATCACTAGCCTTTGCAGTGAAAAGCAGCAAGTATGCTGCACTCTATGGCTGCCAGATTTATGGCAATCAGGACACGTTGAGTGTCTCTGGAAACCTGTTCACCTTCAAGACTTACATAGAGGTATGCGTTCAGCGAACGAAACTGGATTGAGTCAATACTAATTTCGTGAACAGGGTAACGTCGACTTCATCTATGGAAGTGGCTCCGCATACTTCCTCGCCTCGACCATTTCTCCGAACGAGGATGCGATCAGTATAACTGCCCACAAGCGAGCGGCAAATGTCACGAATGCAGGATTCGTTTTCGACCAATGCACGCTCAAGCCTGCGCCTGGGGCTGGACCTTTCACCAACGTTGGTCTAGGTCGCCCTTGGAACAGCTTCTCCCGTGTTGCCTACATTAATTGCTATCTCGACTCAATGATTAGCGCAGCGGGATGGAACCCATGGAGCAAGTCGACACCGAACACGAATGGCGTCCAGTATGGAGAGTATCATAATTTTGGTCCTGGATCGAATATTTGCAAGCGCGCTGCCTTCTCTCAGCAGCTTTCCGACGCCGCTGTGGTTCAGTACCAGCTGGGCAACTTCTTTGCATCCACAAGCTTTATCGAATTCGCGCGTGTAGATACTCAACCATTTTCGGTTGGTATTGATTTGGCACAGACCTGTGGACCTATCTCATCAACCATCAGCGCGTCTGTTGTACCAAGCGCTTCCTCTACGCCCGTGCTCACAAGCAGTCTTCCAATTGTTACAGCCTTCACCACTACTACTGTGGTAGAGAAGCTCACGACAAGCACATTGATTACAGCCCCGGACGTTACATCCACAACTATTGCCAAGATTACTGAGACGTTGTCGATCACTGCAGCAGACGTTACGAAGACCAGCGTGGAGAAAGCTACCATCACCATCTCTGTCACCTCTCCAGACATCACCTTAACCTCAACCTCCGTAGTCACAGAAGATGTCGGTCTCACAATAACCCCTGGCGCTGTCACGAAAACCGATGTTACGAAGGGAACGATAACCGAAGGAGGTGTGACTACCAAAGCACCAAGCACTTATACCGTTCAAGGTACCTCGACTATCACAACGATCTTCACATCCACCCCGAAGGCAGCAACGATTACGCGAATTGAAGGCTCTACTGTTATCATCACCAGCTCGATCTATCCCAAAGGAGCCACTACAACCATCTCGACCACCACCTCTGTGCAGCCTAGCAGCACCAAAACAACTACGGTCAAGGCCAAGAGCTCAGTCACAGTGACTACTACGTCCTACAAAACAACTACCAAGAAGTCAACCATCACACAAGCTTGTATTCCAACTGCCGAAGCACAGCTGGTGCGTCGTGGGGCCGTTCTTCCTCGGGCTGGCGCGGCAAGCACTACCACCATCACGCTCAGCGCTACAGTTACCAGTTTTGTCAAAACTTCCACTGTCACTCAACCGGGCGCTACTATCATAGCTACGAAAACTTCAGTCGTCACTAAGACAACATCATTGAAAGCCAGTACTGTCACAAGTACCATTACTTCGGTTGTCGCAACTCGAACCAGCGCGCAAGCGGGCCAGACGGTTTATACAACCATCATCTCCACGTCCAAAATTGGCAAGACCACGACTCTCAAGCCCTCTACAACTACAATTTCATCCACGAGCTTCGCGACCAAGACGACACTGTCCACCGTGACCGCTGATGCTGTCACAATTAGCAGTTTCAAGACAAAGACAACTACACAGACTGTAGAGGCGCTGCAGCAAACCGTCTACATCACTAAATCAGCTGATGTAACAAACACGATCAAGACTACGTTGCCTGTCAGCACGACGACGCTATATGAGACGATTACAGAGGGTGGTGGCGTTGTCACTACAACGGTGACAGCGGAGCCAGGAACTAAGACCGTGGCGCAGAAAGTCACCACGACGGTGCTGCAGGTTGTGACGAAGACCGCGAAGGGCGCGAAGAATTGTACGGCATAGGATCTATCATGATAAAGGTACACGACATATAGGTTACTGTTTAATATATAATGAGATACCCATATCCAACACCTAGGCTCATTACGGCTTTTTGAGCCCAAGAGACGATTTCCAGATCATCCTTGTTACGCTAAGTATTTAGAATCACATCAACGCACATATACATTCTACTATTTATACAGGCAACGACAAGCAACAATTACATTCACGACTCCGTCTCCGTACTCTTGAACGCCGGTTCCTTCGGATCTCTCCACATCGTGCACGGATTGAATCGCCAAACACCGCGATGCTTCGTGCCGAATACATAGTGAATGACATACGGCACAAAAAATGGTACAGCTGGAAAGTCGTGTACCCCACCCTCGAAATTTCTATCCGCCGTTCCAAACACCAACGGCGCAATGCGATACTAACAGTTCTCGTCAGTGAATTTCACGCTTTCGGCAGACATAGTCTCACATTATCCGTATCCATCAAGAGCTTCTCCATGCCGCTTATACGCCGACTTCACCTCTTTACTGTCGTACTTCTCCAGCGCCTTTAGCGTCTCGATCTCGTCTTGCAGATGCTTGGTCAGTGGCGGCGCAAAGTCGTGCACCAGCGCCTGAATCTTCGGCCCATCAAAATCTTTCACATCGCAACTTTTCACGTATTCGTGGAATTTCTCAAATCCCGGCGTGAAGGCTCGATGCTGCTCGACATTTTGTGCCATGAGTCCTGGCTGGGCTGCGATCTTCTCCAAACTCGGGAAAAACTCGGCTTCTTCGGCGTCGTGGTGGTGATGCATGGATTCGCACCAGCATTCACAGTACATTAGGAAGTCGCGTTGTGTGGATGTGTCGTTGTGAGGGATGTGCGGCGCTTGGAGGTAGATGGAGTTGAGGCCGCGGATCATGCCGTTATGGGCGAGGGCCATTTGAGTCGCAACATAATATGCAGAGTGAGATGCCTGACGTTTCTGTGAGTATCGTAATGTCCAAAAATAGGGGAAATCAAAGTACATTTTTTGAGAATGCTGTAGTAGTGATAAGAGGGTACGGCTGATCTGCCCACTGCGAAAGCATTTTATTCTTGAGAGCAAGCCTTATGATGAAACTGAAGGATGGGTGTATGAAGTCTTTCAGGAAGAAGTATGCTATCAATTCAAAAACGCTCAGCGCAGGTATCAACACATTTATGAGGTGTAGATAATGCGGCACAGTTCGGTCCTTGCATCAGGCGAATAAGCACTTCTGCAGGGCGATCGCTAGGGTCGCATACAAGTGCATGTCGGTGAACATTAAGTCCGACGGAGCCGCTTTCATTTACGCGCTCACTATCCGTCGTATTCGATAGGTCAAACGGATCTAAGTGACTTGTGTAGATCCCGCTTCCGGACTATTACTTGAGGTGTAGGAGATAATTGTGAGCAGTAGAAAATCGAACACGCTGAGGAAAAGGGCCGATGATAATTATCGATGTTGTTTCAAATGTTCGCATACTCGAGGACCAGTGTTATTCTTTCTAGAAAGGTGACATCGTAGGCTCTCTCTCTCTTCCAAAGCAAATATGTTAATGTGTTTTGTTGGTAGAATGATTGGGGCTCTTGTTTTTCGAAGAGGAATGCGTCGAACGGAAGTGCGATCAGTATGTTCGATAAGTGCTTTGCGTCAAGTCGAGTCAACCGGTCTATATTTTCCTCTGAAATGAACAGAGAGCGTTGGGCGGGGTTGGTACCGCAAGATCGTTATCAGATTTGTGTAGGTCAAATTGGAATCTGTGTCCTTTCTATTAGTGTTGATCTCGAACTCCAGAATGCTTGTTCTTGAGTTTGATGATACTGACGATGCATCGCTCGATATCATAAATTATAGTCCAGTTCCATGCGACACATCGAATTCGCCTCATCTTTTTTTTTTGG